CTATAAACGTTCGGTACACAAATAATCTACACCGAAACGAAGAAAAGTGAAAGAAAAGCGAGTTCAGTGACGAAAAAGAAGTCGGACCCATATGTTATGAGCAAACTCGACATGTCAAGAGAAGAAGGCTTTTCATTAATTTATGAAGAAGTCAACACAAACTTCTTTCAGTTTTCTTTTGCAAGCGTTGCGTTGGTGCTCACCCAAAAATATTGCAGTACTTTTGTGAGAGTGAATTCTGCACTATCCAGTGCATAACGAAGAAGTACAAATATATATATATATCGTAAAGCAGGATCACGAAGTTTTACTTGATGGCGCGAAGTCATTAGCTATGAAAATTGACACAAATTAGGCGTGCTCAAGCTGAGGTAAGTAGGTGCGGTAGAATAGGAGATGAAGTGAAGAATGACGCGAGAATCTAGCAAAATTAAAAAGCTCGAAGCAGATTTGAGAAAATAACTGCTATCTGATGCATCGTTCAATTAATCTGCAGAAAAATACCTGGATTCGGAAGTGACAAGCGCTTGCAGATATCAGGTTAAGCTGTTTAGGGGTGCGAACTATGCTACCATAACTATTGTCAATTTGACTAAGAAAACGATTTTGAAAAAAAAAACTTCTAAGATTATTCCTATGCTTCTCTTACCCAATGCACGGCGAATGTAAAAAAAGATTTTTTCAAATTTTTGAATAGCTTTCCATTTTTGAAAAGCCAGAAACATCAGACTGCTGCTATTACAGACTGCTAACATCAGACTGTCGGATTATATTTTAGAAATTATAGAAGAGGCGCCAAGAGAGGCAGAGAAAAAGTTTGAAGAAAAAAAGGACGATTATATTTACAGAATTGTAATTGGTGGTTACGGCAAATTTGCGGCGTTCATATGATGAAGCAGACCCTGCCAAATAATGGAAAATAATATAAAGTAAATAGATAAAATTAATGAATTCGAATACAAAGTAAATTTTGAGATTTTGGGTAGATTTTAGATCATAGAAAAAGGTGAAAAAATTACTAACAATGTACTAATCTACTTAAGAAAATGTACATACATCGACGTAGAATTTACTACTCACAAATAATACAAAAGTAAAAGTAAACAAGTAAATGAAATCAATAATGTTATTTACTTAGATGAACTATTAGATGTGGTTTTTGGGGAAAATTCGAAAGATGACAAATCTTAGTTCTGCAAAATTCTGCATTACACATAATAAAATCCCGCATTTACTCTCTAGATTTCTTTGGTGCAAGTGCATCGTATGTTATTATTCAGGTGATGATAAGCAACAAAACATCCCAAGCAGTAAGATGTGCGAAAATAATTTCTGCTCAAAAACTATTAGGTCGTTTCATAAATTCAAAAATTTTTTTGTAGGCATTTTTTGATGAAGCAGCTGGTTTATGTCAAAGTTTCTGTACTATCTGAAAGAGCCAACCTTGCTGTACAGAAACTGTCGTTCGCCTAAAAAGCGAACAATTTTGGCTCGCAAATAACTTTGCTTGAAGTTCAAACAAAGGGCATAAGGTTTGCTTCAAAAATAAGGAACAGCAGTTGTTTTCAATGGTACAAGTACTTTGACGGCAAGCGCTTCATCAAATAACGAGGAAAAAATAAAAACTCTACGAACTTATGAAAGACCTTATGCATATTTTGCCAAACCTAGTTGTTGTTGGATGAACTATATGAAGACGATGTACTTGTACGGACATTCTTTGATGAAATATGCTATAAGATAAGGCTTGCAAAACACTTCATCCACGCTCATGAATGCAAAACAATGCACTTATCCCTTCACAGTTCTATAAAAACGCGTGAAAAGATGTGCAGCCTATAGGGATTGGGATTTATATGAATATATAAAATATACTGGAAACTTACGTAAGAAATCGTCTTCAAAACTTGATGAGAACAAAACAATGATCTATTTCAATATCACAATTTTTCTCACAGTATGACAAAGTGATGTTTGATACAGCTTACTTTCATTGGACCATGATGAGAAAAATAGTACTTTTAATCTAAGTATTAGAAGGTAAACTTTATGATAAGTCAAACCCAAAAATGCCAGTGTATCAAAACTAGTAAAGCAGTTCAATTTTACCTAAAGCTAAGCAATTTTTTCCAAATATTTTGCCTTTTTAGTTCCTATTTTTTCCAACAAAAACGAGTTGAGTGCAAGTCTGTAAGATTAAGGTGTTATTGAACAAAGTAACACGAAATACAAAACATTGTATTTGATAATTACCTCTAGATTCGGAACGTGGGCGCAGATATTACATCATTATCTCAAAAAAAAATGAGATGAGCCTCAGTTGTTGTTATCTCTGCATCCTGTATTCCATTATCATATTTGACGTTCATAGCAAGTAACACCTTCAATTCTGCTGATTTGCGCAATAATATCTTCCTTTAAGCTTAAGCTTAGGCAACAAATGGTGTTTGCCTAATGCCTAATGCCTAAGCATAGGCAGCAATTCTGCATATCTACAATCTCAATATAAGCTTTTGATTTCCTAAAAATATCTGAAAAAATGTTTGTAATTATTTGCAAGTTTTTCCTCCTTCTTCGTAGACTGTAATTGATCTCGTTTGCAGTGAAGAATCTGATGAAATGCACTGTGCAAAATTTTCACTTAGTTAACTCCACGCTATGGAAGCCGTAAATTAATTATAATGTAAAGGAGTCATAAATAGCGAATAAGGTGAATTTTGCATATCGTTTTTGCATGCGAAAACGATGGTGATGATGAGATACTTCTTCATTTGCATTTATTTCATTTTTTAAATCAAAGGTGATGTTTGCCATCGGCTCCAACCTCTGGTGGAAAACATATTCCGTTTGTCGCTCGCATTTTCGCTTTGAGAAAGACAACTAAGCGGAATTCACCAACTCCTTGAACACGAGTTTCCATAATTTGCGCCAGCTCACAAAAGTTTCTGGCGGTACACATGTTTAGCACTACAAAAACGATTTTAGGAAATTCTAGGAATGGTACCAACAGATATTCTGAGTTTCCCTCTCGTTTGAACTAATGAGTTCATTTTATACTTCTACTAGGTTGCTCCAAAAGTACCCGTACCAGCGCCGTTCTAGCGTTGCTCCAGCGCTGTGCTAGCCTCATGTTGGCACGGCGCTGGCACGGTAGCGGCATACATGCAATCAAGGATCTTTGCTCAAAATACTTAGCCTTGGAAAATGTCGAACACAGTTCTATCTGCGAGACCACAGCTTGCATATTTGGTATTTTTCCCAGTAGAAAAGTTCATTTTCACTCACCAAAGTTTACGCAGCTCCTGTGGAAATCCAAGATTCTTGCTTGAATGAATGCTTAGCTTTGGAAATTGAAATTAATTCTACCAACAAAAGCTTGCTCATTTCTTGGTTTCCACAGAATACAAGCTTACTATAGAATTTGTGGTGAATTTGCACCAGAGACTTTCGAGAAACCGAAGAGGAGCGCCTTTTGGCGGTTGAAGCGAAGCCAGATTATAGCCTTCTGTATCTATGCGGTTTCAGATAGAGAATGTTTGCTGCTTTTTCTGATGATAATAAGATCGCTCACTCTCTCATGTTTTTACTCGCGACGCCATGCACACTGTCTAAATTATCGATGAATCACCTTTAGCTGTAGGGTAATTTTGTAACAAATTCAAAAAAAAAACAGTTTCAGTGCTACTCTCTTGTTACATTCACGTCTGCGACATCTGGTTTTAGATCGTAGTTCACGAATTTTCACTGCATAAATCCATGCGAGACAATATGATGCCTCGCGCTCTGGGACTGTCAAACGCCTACGCAACGCCAAAAGAAAAGTCAGCGAAAATGAAGGGTCATGTTGCCATCTCGTCAAATGTTTCCAGTTTAACTACAAAAAGATTGGGGTGTAGAACAATTCGTATGACCGTAATGCTTTCCACACAGGACCATCGCCGCGCGCGACACACCCTGCGGCGGCTTTTGCCTAAGCAAAACAGGGGGAGGAGAAGTTTGCGGCATGTATTACATGTTAAAACAAGTCAAAATCAGAGAGACGCTGGAGACCGCCCGTGCGAAAAGACCGTGTCCCCAAATGTGGCCTTTGCAGTAAGAAATCTCAACACGGAAACCGTACGGAAACAATAAATGTTTCCCACTATGGTTTGCTTCGAAAATTTGCTGTTTCCTTGGTTTATTTTTCTTGCACAAAGCACGACTACGTAGATGTATAGACGAAGAAAGTTAAACGAAAAAGCTGCTCTGGTTTTTAGTTCTTACAATCACTATCTTGCATACACTCAAAGACAGCTGGTTTCTATGGATCTATGTGCTAATCCAGTGTCACTGCGCTGGCAACAACAATTGTGCGAAAACAAATGTCACGCTTGTGATCCGAAAATTTTCTTGCGATTTGCGCGTAAAAATGTTACTGAGCGCACACTGTGATGGTTTACGCGCGAAAGTTGTCGGCAATGAAGAACCCTATTGAGTTGCTCTACAAGGTTAATCCACTTCCTATACTCGATCAATAACAGGGCGAAATAATACGCTTGATAAGTTTAATCTTAGTGTAGTACACACAGAGGAAGGAGGACAACGGCATCGATTCACAGAACGAAAAACGGCTGATTCCATACGGTTGAGTTGCACGAAGGGATAGAGGAATGCTCCATCAAATTTGGTTCCTGATGTGATTTGCTTTTTTGCTCATAGAAGACGACACATATTCCATGCTTCAATAGGTTTGATTTCCCAAGCTATGCAATTAGGAGATAAGGGGCTGCATGCGCTTGTAGCCTTGCAAGTGAAAAGCTTAGATTTCTATGGGTTCCTAAAATTGTGGAACTACAAGCGGATTTACTACAGTACCTAGTAGGAATCATTGCCATTTCTGAGTTTCGAGTGGGAGTGAAAATTTGATAATGAATAAAAATGAATCATATGAATAAAACAGCCATATTCCTTTCAACTTATTGTAAACAATGAATCTCATAAATTGTGAACAGGTGAATTACCGGGATCTCTCAAATACAGACGCAGATGGAAAATTCAAATATTGTGCTATTGCTGAATCTGCAATCAAAAAGTAAAGTGGTCTAACGAGAGTGAGAAGGTTGAAGACAGAGACAGAACAGTTTTTGTCAGAGACTGATTCTGTTTCTGTCTGAATTTCTCAAACACGAAACTGGTTTCGAAAATGTCAGAGACAGAATCAATCTTATCTAAAGACTAATTCCGTTTCTGACATTTTCGAAACCAGTTTCGTGTTTGAGAAATTTGGGTTCGAATCTGAAACCAAGGTGGAGCAATTAGGTTGGTGTCATTAAAATAAGTTGAATTATCATGATTCTGTCTCTGAATTTTCGAAACCAGTTTTGTGTTTGATGAATTTGGGGTGCGGATCTAAAACCAAGGTGGAGCAATTAGGTTAATGTCACCAGAAATATTAATTATTATATTAAATCATGATAATTTAATATACATAATATATTAAATTATCATGATTCTGCCTCTGACATTTTCAAAACCAGTTTCGTGTCTGAGAAATTTGGGTTCGAATCTGAAACCAAGGGGAGCAATTAGGTTAGTGTCATTAGAAATAAGTTGAATTATTATGATTCTGTCTCTGAATTTTCGAAACCAGTTTTGTGTTTGATGAATTTATGGTGCGGATCTAAAACCAAGGTGGAGCAATTAGGTTAGTGTCACCAGAAGTAAATTAAATTATCATGATTCTGTCTCTGAATTTTCGAAACCAGTTTTGTGTTTGATGAATTTGGGGTGCTGATCTAAAACCAAGGTGGAGCAATTAGGTTAATGTCACCAGAAATATATTAAATTATCATGATTCTGTATCTGACATTTTCGGAAGCAGTTTCATGTCTGAGAAATTTGGGTTCGAATCTGAAACCAAGGTGGAGCAATTAGGTTAGTGTCATTAAAAATAAGTTGAATTATCACCTTTTGTGCATTCTCTGAAGCATTCTTATATCCATCCAATGGTTTTCCCCAAAAAGAGGAAATACACACAATTTTTTTGAATTGAGGTGTTTGAGGCTTAATACATCCCCCCAAAATTTTCTTTGAAGTATCTCGAGATTTAAAATTTTCAATCAGATATCTGAGAAAAAGAGGTGTGGCGAAAGTCACTCCTTTGGGATATTTCATGGTATAGTTCAAAATTCTTGAGGTCCATTTTTTAGTTGCTTACAAAAAAAGCAAAACATGATACTTTCACAACTTGTTAGAATGAAAGATACAGTTGTGACCGTGGAATTTGTCCAAAATTGCGGGATTTTCGGGATTCGCGATGTTTGCGGGATTCGCGACTTCACGGAATTTGCGGGACTTGCGGGATTTGCGGGACTTGCGGGATTTAGCTATAACTTCTTTTGAATTCACTTTATTTGCCATCTGCGTGTAGATTTGGCTTCAGCTTGATGAGACGAATCGTTTGATATACAGTATGTCCGTAATTCGTGGTGAGGGGGTAGACTTACAATGATACCTTGTTGTTCTCTATGTTAAGGCTTTTGTGAACATTTATCACAGCGTAAATCACGAATAGCAGGTTCTGGTACGAAGTTTTCATTATCGAAAACTATCGCGAAAAATTGGGCAGTTTTTATTTACCCTTATCACTGATATAAGCATTTTATCATTTATCACTGATAATATCACATTTTTGGATCATTTTTTGCATATGGTAAGGAAAGTGTACTGTAGGAAAAGCTGTGTGAATTTCTATCGCTCTTTCTCTCATTATAAGTGATCTACAGGCTTTTCTAATTCTATTGCTTGGTGCAATTGGTAGATCCCTCGCTGCAGCAATCGATCGATTTTTCATCGGCACATGCCATTGCTGCCAATTCTTACCTAAAATGGCATTTTTGCTTCAACTCGCTTCACGCCGAAGCCTGGGCTGAAATTCTGCACCTATATGGAAGATGAACGTGGAAATCGACCGCATGAATTTAAGCCATTCTTATCTGTCGTTGTCATTAATATCATCATTTTATCATTTATCACTGACGACACAAAATTGGATCATTTTTGATATACAATAAGAAATGTACTTTAGAAAACGCTGTGTGAGTTTTTATCGCTCTATCTCTTATAGTACAAAACCACTCACAGAACATGCAAAATTTCCGGGAATTCGGCGAAATTCATGTGAATCACACAAATTACGCAGGGCCATATCTTCTTTCCGAATGAGTATATTCCAAATCTGAAAACAACGTTGTATTCAGCTCGTCAAGGCGAATCTTTTGATATACAGGCTGTCTCCAATATCTCAATAATCTTGAATTTGCATGCCGACGCCTCTTTGCATGGGTGTAACGCAACAAGCATCACACATAGGAGACTGCCATGGGCACCGTTCGATAGTACTCTTTCACTAGATTATCGTGCGCTAAACAGCAGCCGAAGACTCTCTTTCAAAAGAGATAGAAGAGCTGATAAACTCTGGAAAATTAAGCTGTTCCAAGTTCTACTAGCCGTAACTTTCTTTAGAATGAACATTTTCGAAATCAGAAAGCAGATTTGTGTTCAACTTGTCAAGTCAATCTTACTGTATGCAGCATGTCTTGAAATTCCGTTTTCAATTTTTTCAAAATTTTCTGCGCGCATATTCACAAGGTCGCAACGCAGCGCACATCAAACATAAAAGACTCTATTAAGCACTGTTGGATTGTGCTGTTTCCGCAAATTATCGAGCGCTAAGAAGCAACCGGAGAATCATCTTGAAAAAAGATAGAAGAGCTGGTGAGTTCTGGAAAATCGTGTTGTCTCAAAGTTTGCCCACAGTGACCCTAAAATGAGAAGCTCTACTGCTAAGCAGATGTGATTCTCGTAATCAGCAGGTCAGATAACCTCTATGAGCAAGTTTTCAAAGAGATTTGGGTGATTTTTTTTCTCGTTCTACGTCCGGAAGCTCGCCGATGGGTTTTGGTCAAAATGTCGATGACCATGGATTGTAAAGAAACTTCGCCCAAAGAGGTTTTCGAACACGCTGTTTACGATGACTGTAACTGAGTCACGAAAGTTCGTAAATTTGCCTGCACTTTTCGCGAATTTGTCAGAAAACTTGCCTGCTTGCTTTTCCAAGTCAAAATCACTGGGAACTGTGCTATCAAAAGGTGCATGCTCAGGCTCCAGTCTATAAAGTTCGCCGAGTTACGAGCCTACGAAAACACGTCCTCATGAATTTCGCTCAAAATGGAAAGATCGCGTGTTTCGTCAAAATTCCACCCTCAGTGGTTGTATGACATTCTGATTGCATATGCTCACTTCGCCTAAGGGATCCCATTGAGTTGAATATGGTGGTTGCGCGTTCTTCAGCTGCTCATTTGAATATCTAAGCACCTTCGTAGCTTGAGCTCGGATCTACCTAATTTCCAAATCCAGCACATTAAGACCATTAACCAATGTGAACAGATTTGATCAGTATGTCATACAACCACTGAGAGTGGAATTTCGACGAAATACGCGATCTTTCCATTTTGAGCGAAATTCATGAGGACGTGTTTTCGTAGGCTCGTAACTCGGCGAACTTTATAGACTGGAGCCTGAGCATGCACCTTTTATAGCACAGTTCCCAGTGATTTTGATTTTTAAAAGCAAGCAGGCAAGTTTTCTGACAAATTCGCGTAAAGTGCAGGCAAATTTACGAACTTCCGTGACTCAGTTACAGTCACCTTCACAATATCTCTATAAAAAGACCCTGTCTTCTTCAAAGACCACTATTTTCGTAAACAGCGTGTTCGAAAACCTCTTTGGGCGAAGTTTCTTTACAATGTAAGGTCATCGACATTTTGACCAAAACCCATCGGCTAGAACGAGAAAAAATCAAATCACCCAAATCTTTTTGAAAACTTGCTCATAGAGGTTATCTGACCTGCTGATTACGAAAATCACATCTGCTTAGCAGTAGAGCTTTTCATTTTAGGGTCACTGTGGGCAAAATTTGAGACAACACGATTTTCCAGAATTCACCAGCTCTTCTATCTTTTTTCAAGATGATTCTCCGGTTGCTTCTTAGCGCTCGATAATCTGCGGAAGCAGCAAAATCCAACAGTGCTTAATAGAGTCTTTTATGTTTGATGTGCGCTGCGTTGCGACCTTGTGAATATACGCGCGCAGAAAATTTTGAAAAAATTGAAAACGGAATTTCAAGACATGCTGCATACAGTAAGATTGACTTGACAAGTTGAACACAAATCTGCTTTCTGATTTCGAAAATGTTCATTCTAAAGAAAGTTACGGCTAGTAGAACTTGGAACAGCTTAATTTTTCCAGAGTTTATCAGCTCTTCTATCTCTTTTGAAAGAGAGTCTTCGGCTGCTGTTTAGCGCACGATAATCTAGTGAAAGAGTACTATCGAACGGTGCCCATGGCAGTCTCCTATGTGTGATGCTTGTTGCGTTACACCCATGCAAAGAGGCGTCGGCATGCAAATTCAAGATTATTGAGATATTGGAGACAGCCTGTATATCAAAAGATTCGCCTTGACGAGCTGAATACAACGTTGTTTTCAGATTTGGAATATACTCATTCGGAAAGAAGATATGGCCCTGCGTAATTTGTGTGATTCACATGAATTTCGCGGAATTCCCGGAAATTTTGCATGTTCTCTGAGTGGTTTTGTACTAAAAGAGATAGAGCGATAAAAACTCATTCAGCGTTTTCTAAAGTACATGTCTTATTGTATATCAAAAATGATCCAATTTTGTGTCGTCAGTGATAAATGATAAAATGATGATATCAATGACAACGACAGATAAGAATGGCTCAAATTCATGCGGTCGATTTCCACGTTCACCTTCCATATAGGTGCAGAATTTCAGCCCAGGCTTCGGCGTGAAACGAGTTGAAGCAAAAATGCCATTCTAGGTAAGAATTGACAGCAATGGCATGTGCCGATGAAAAATCGATCGATTGCTGCAGCGAGGGATCTACCAATTGCACCGAGCAATAGAACTAGAAAAGCCTGTAGATCACTTATAATGAGAGAAAGAGCGATAGAAATTCACACAGCTTTTCCTACAGTACTTTCCTTACCATATGCAAAAAATGATCCAAAAATGTGATATTATCTGTGATAAATGATAAAATGCTTATATCAGTGACAAGGGTAAATAAAAACTGCCCAATTTTTCGCGATAGTTTTCGATAATGAAAACTTCGTACCAGAACCTGCTATTCGTGATTTACGCTGTGATAAATGTTCACAAAAGCCTTAACATAGAGAACAACAAGGTATCATTGTAAGTCTACCCCCTCACCACGAATTACGGACATACTGTATATCAAGCGATTCGTCTCATCAAGCTGAAGCCAAATCTACACGCAGATGGCAAATAAAGTGGATTTAAAAGAAGTTATAGCTAAATCCCGCAAGTCCCGCAAATCCCGCGAATCCCGCAAATCCCGTGAAGTCGCGAATCCCGCAAACATCGCGAATCCCGAAAATCCCGCGAATCCCGAGAATCCCGCAATTTTGGACAAATTCCACGGTCACAACTGTATAAAGCTTTCTTTTAAGCTGCGATCCCCTCCCCGCGGGGATTTTAGTGCATGCGGCCCTTAGTGACACCCGTCCGCTACGAAGTTCATGTTGCGAAGTTTGGTTCAGACCTCATAATTTTTTCAAACATTTTGAGTCGGCAGAAATTTTTCGAGCAGAACTGCAAATATATAAATCTATAGAAGCAATCGGTATGTTTTGAACAAAATAATAACTTATAAACACAAGCCTTGCATCATTCAAATGCGTATGAAATGTGCTATACCCCTCTTGTTTATCTATCTGTGATAATGGATTAAAGTTGCTAATTAGACATTTTCCTTTGACGAATCTCATTAAAAACGATAGAAACGCGCAGCGAATTGCCGCGAAAAGTAGCCTATGCTACTTTTCGGTGTTCAGAACACATGCGTCTTTAGAATGAGTTAAAACTTTTTCTATTAGTTAGGGCGGAAAAGATTTGGTAGGCAAAAATTGGCTAAATCAATAGGGGCAATCCGTGTGTCTCGAACAAAAGCCGCACTAACACACGCTTCTTCCCACACATTAGGTCTGCCAAATTTGGTTCAGACTCTCAGATTCTTTGACTCCTTTTGTCCCCTTTGGGCGAACATACAAAAATTTCTAAGCAAAAACTGCAAAAATCAATAAATCGTTGGCCCCAAACATTGAGTCTCAAACAAAATGGCTTATTGACATACGCCAAACCCCATACATTATGTTTGCAAGATTTGGTCCAGATTCCATCACTCCTTCTATCCTTTTTGGGCGAACAACAAAATTCCGGGCAAAAACTGCAAGCAATCAAGCAATCGATAGAGTCGGGCGGTGGACCCCGAACAAAATGGCTTATTAACACATGCCCCACCCCATACATTATGTTTGCCAATTTGGTCCAGATCTCATGGCTCCTTCTATCTTTTTAAGCGGCTAAGCCAGCTAAATATAGTATTGATAGGAACTCGAGAAGTGAAGCTAGTGTTAAGTTCCGGACCCTTGCCTCCCAAAAAGTAAAGGCTGTTCAGAGAATGAAAAGAGAAAGAGATATAAAATTTAGCAAAAAAGGAGCTGTTGGAGACCGTGTAAAACGCTGCAATAAGTTTGGAGTATTTCGTTGGCTATATTTTGAAAAGATAGTCATGAGAAAGAAAAAGTTCTGCTGAGCCAGTGCATGCAAAAAGAATTTAGCATTCGCTGCAACCTTTGATTTCCAAACCCCTTTCTTCTTGTTTCTTTTCGGCGACGTTGTTCGCGTTGTTCTGCTTATCATTTCCAGCAAAAAACCCTAAACATGGGAAATGGTTCAAAAGATTCAAAAAATACTCACTTCAAAATAGCTGTGAAAAAAAGCGCACTTTCCTCTTTTTGCATTGAAAAAAATGAAAAAACTTTGCAGGGTTTTTGTAAAGTTGAGAAATAATATATGGCATGCTTGTATTAGGTTGATGCAAAAATAATGGCCGATTTTACAAGTCTTTTTCAAACAACTTTTTTCCATCAAAATATATTTTCAAAATATCTTTTTTGAAATACATGTAGCATAATTCGAAAAGCTGTTTTATGCTTCATCTAGTGAAGGTTGAATAGGGCTTTCATCCTCATTTGTTATAAAGTTACTGAACTTCAAATAACCGCATCTAAATTCAGAATTTCATTGCTTTCACTTTTCTGGCCCGACTTCAAGAGCGCATGCACTGCGCTTCTTCAGAAATTTAGCTATTGTGTGTAATAGAAATTGTCTATATTATGAATACTTAACTGTACTTTCTGAAGTTATCCAAATTGAAATATCGGCGTGTTAATATGGGTAGCCGTTGCGATCAATTTATAACTCATAAATTTCTTTTGAAAAAGTCACGCCGAAGCTTTGCTCACTTCTGTAAGTGTAATGCCAGCGCATCTCAATGGCTTTTTTTGCAAAAACATTCAGCTACAGTACGAGAAAATTAGAAAAATCTATATTTGGGGTTTTGAGATACTGGAAAAAATGTCGAAAAAATTTTATTTTTATTTTATTTTATTTTTAATACACTCATGGTGCACCTAACAAAAAAAAAACAAAGAATTCAGAACAAACTTGAAAAACCAACCAACCACTCAAATAGCTACATGATAGGAGCATAAGTATAAACAACCTGAAGAGCCCCAGACCTAAGACGTGCACGCGTACTTCGCAGAAGGCTGCGAAACTGTGGGAAATAATCTAAAAGAAAGAATCTGAATCTTACTTACTCTAAAATTCTGATGACTCGGTTTTGGGTGCCAGCGAGCCCCCGGTAAGTTAGCTGACTTGTCCCCAATGAAGCTTAATTTTAGAGGAAGCAAGATTGTGTCAACTAAAATAGATGAACTACTTCCAAGAAAACAATCTAAGGTCTGAGGCTAGAACTCAATGACCTGGAACTGTAAAAAAAACACCCTGTTGGCATGACAGGTTGGTTACAGTTAGTGAAGGCATAACCATGGTTAGTAACACAAACACAAAAAGCAGAGAATGATCAGTCTATACTCGTTCTGTCAAGAAGCGGGAGTGTTAGATGTGCAGTTGAAAGGCTAGATGAAGAGCCAGCGTTGAACTCCTAAACATCAGGGATATGCAACGTTCTTAACACATCTATGCAAGCTAATTTTTACGAAAAACAAAAGTATTCTTACTGCAAACAATTTCTTTTGGTAAGAGACTCAGCCATCTTGAGATGCGACAAAAAATGAATTGAAAGTTGCCAAAAACATTTTTTTACTTAGTTTACGATGATGTAGATTAGACCCACCTGTACGTTCGCCACACGGTCTGAAAACCCAGTGCTTACTCGCTTGCAATCTAGTTTCCAGATGCAAGATTCGGAAACAAAAAACTAAATCGTTTACAACGCGCCTAAATTTTAGACTACGCAGTTTCAAAGTGGCAAGTCTTTCACTATATGTCGGTAAACATCGTGGGTAATCGGTACTGGGAAAACATCTGTAAAAAACTATCCGAGTAAATACTTTTTGTACTCTCTCAAGTTTAATCGCATTCTGCTTAAAAGCACCGTCCACCCAAAATTTCAACTTCCATGTTTTTGCCGTTCGTGGGCTTTCTCATACTCCTGATAGCAAGTCGGGAAACCGCGAAAACCACGAAAAACTCCCGTTTTCAGAACCCGTAGAGCGATTTCCTCGGAAAGGTGATTGGTTGAGCGCGCAGGGTGGGCGGGACGAACGTCACGCCCACCCGAAAGGAGAGGAGCCAACGTGGCGAACCGTCACCTGAGCGATTTCCGAAATAAATTTCTCGGTTCGGAGGCAACTTTAGGCAACGCAAGTTGGGCAATCATACAGTTCGGGGACCCGCAGCTGCTAGGTATCATAATCTCGCTAACCCCAATTTGGGTGGACGGTGCCTTTAAGGAACGGATTCCAAACGGGTGAAGCGTAATCAAGGTGGGGTAAAACATAGGTTCTATACAATCGCACTAATAAAGCAGGATCGTTGCTGTGCACGTTTCTCAGGAGCATGAACAACGATGCCAATGATTTATTGATGACAGATTTGTAATGGCTGGAAAACTTGAGTGACTATCAATCATAACTTCTAAATCTTTCACTACTTCCCGACGCTCAAGAACAGCATCATCACAGTAATATGGCCTGTAAGGAGCATCGCCCAAGTGCATCACAGAACATTTTGAAAGATTTAGAGGCAAATTCTATTTCTTTGACCATGTTACCATCTTTTCGATAGACGAAGAGAGGGCTTCATGGGCTTCAGTTTGTTCATTCTTGGCATGCGAAGTAAATTTTCAAGTCATCCGCAAAAGTTTGTATGCGGATATTTGGATGTGTTTTAACGAAAACGGGTAGATCAGCTGTGTAGATTAGAAAAAGAAGCGGTGAAAGAATCCCACCCTGAGGAACACCACTACCACAAACGTACTCGTCCGAATAATCATTTCCGACTCGTACAGTCATTCTGCATTCACTGAGATACGAGTCAATCCATGCCAGTAGTCTACCACGTACTCCGATTTTTTCAAGTTTGAATAAGAGTTTGCAGTGGTTGACTCTATCAAAGGCTTTAGATAAATCAAAATAAATGATATCAATTGATTTGTCTTGATTAATTGCAGTAATCCAATCAAAAAAGGAGTCAGAAAGTAGGGCAGTGGTTGATCTTCCAGGTAGGAATCCATACTGTTCTGAAGGTATCACATGATTTTTGTGTACCCAATCTCCTAGCTTTTCCTTGACAAAATTTTCAAGTATCCTACCACAATGCGGAGTGATGCTTATGGGACGAAAGTTGGACAAAGAATTACAAGTGGGATTTTTTGGGAATGCAGTTATCAACGATTTATTCATAGCTTAGGAACCGGCCCCATTGATAGGGATGCATTGAAAATGAATGTCAAAGGAGAGCATAGAGAAAGGGCACACTTTCTATAGAATATTTAGGGAATTCCATCGTAAGTGACAGAAACCGTTGCTCTTAGCCTTTTCAGTACTTTGAGCAGAAGTTCAGGGTATATTTGAATATCGCTACAGCTGGAAAGATTACGTTGATATGAAGTAAATGAGAAATTGCGTTGACATTAATCCCAAGCCTATCATCTCCATGTGTAAACATCCCAGCAAAAAACTCTGCCAAAGCAACAGCTTTTTCTTTATCACTTTTGAGAAATTTATTGTCATTATCCAAAAGGGATGGAAGTTTTTGTTGTCCTTTGCTGCAAAATCTAATGTAAGCATAGAGTTTTCTCGCACCATTAACGATTTTTAATTTTAATTATTTTCCTTCTCGCAAGTTTTTTTCTCCAAAACCTTTTAATCGTAGTTTGAGCTGCTGGCATGCGGCTACAAGGTAAGCCACTCGTCAATCATGTTAACAAATTTTAAAAGAAGTAATGAATTGTCAAAAACGAGGTTCTAGAATAAAACCTTCTTTGTCTTTTGGTCCGTGTTATTCTTCCCGTTTATGTTGTGAGTATGAACAAATGTGAGCTGTAATGCGAAAGGTTTGCTGTGAAGGTCTTTACCATATTCAGAAATGTGGATTTTCTAAAAAAGTCAAAGCACGTCAAAGTGAGAATTCCCAATACGGACATTATTTTGGCATCAACCTAATATATGAAACAACGAAAGAAAGTGTACCAGAGCTGAATGCTGAAGCCAGAGCTCGGCACGAGGGCTTTCCAAAAATGCAAAAAACGAGGTCCCCACTGACTTTTCTAAAATTTTACGAAGTCTCCTTTGATTTTAAGCCATAAACTATTAGGTTGGCCCAAAAGTTCTTTCGCACCATTTTCAAAAATTCGTAACTTTTGATTTTTTGACCGATTTGGCCGCTTTTCTTTTTATATAGAAGAGAAAGTCATGCTCTTTGAAATGACACCTTAGCTGCTTACTAATGATCATCCGTTGCATAGATAGGAGAGGTAGAAAAAATCAGTCAAAATTCGAATTTTCTGTGTAGGGTCGTAGAAAATCGGAAACTTGCAACAAAAATCGGAACAGTCGGTATTGTAGGTTCTTCCACAAGCTCTTTCTAAAGTGCATTTGCGCTGATTGAGCGTCTCTATGAAAACTTATGATTTCCCTGAAAAATGCCAAAATAAATCAAATTCGCCCTTTTGTATTGCTTGCTCAAAAATCGTAACTTTTCATAGAGACGCTCAATCAGCGCAAACTTTGCACTGTTAGAAAGAGCTTGTGAAAGAACCTACAATACCGACTGTTCCGATTTTTGTGGCAAGTTTTCGATTTTTCATGACTCTACACAGAAAATTCAAATTTTGACCAATTTTTTCTACCGCTCCTATCTATGCAACAGATGACCAATAATAAGCAGCTAAGGAGTCGTTATAAATAGCATAACTTACTCTTTCACACAAAAATAAAAGCATGCAAATCGGCTGAAAGAACTGGGATTTATGAATTTTTAATGGTGCGAAAGAACTTCCGGGCCAACCTAATAAAAACCCTAAAAAACGACTAAAAAAGTCGCAATTTTTGTGTCTTTTCGGCCACAAAGACGATATTCCCTTTGCTTTTGTCCCAAAAGCGATATCCAACTTGCTTACAAGACTTCTGATAATGCGAAGACTGTCTTGAAGAAACATTGTTGCCATTTTTATTCAAATTATCATTTTGTTTTAGAACGAAGAAAGCGCATATTTATTGCTGCTGGATTATTTTCTCAGGTTATCTCTCACTTTGCTCTTCATTCACAATTATATGGTTCTGAGCTCACTATCCGGTGCATGTTCCGGATGCTTTGCGCTAGCTTTATACAGTGAAGATTGTGCTTTCTTTTCTTCCTCGGAGTAGAGGTCCACAAGATTTTATTTATGAAAAGTTTACTCCGTTTTAGCTCTATTCATAGTCTTTTACCTTCTTGTAAAAGACTATGAATAGAGCTAAAACCCGGCATGTGATTGAAATCCGCGGAAAACACTACACATGTCGCTGTCCATTGTAAGGAGAAATCAAAGAAAATTAGACTTTATAAGACAAGAACCAAGAAGAACCAAATGGCAGACGTTAGAATTGTTGAGTTTCACTGTACGCGTATGTACTTCGTTCACGAAGACGGAAGCACAAAATGGCTCAAAAAATGCAATGCATCTCAAGCCAAGAATAATTTTTGTTTGCAAACCTTTCTCAATTCAGTGGTCTATTTCCAGTCAATGATACATAATAGTTGTTCGAGCTGGCGTTTTCATGAAAAATTGAACTGCCACGGGTTTTAACCGGCGACTCGCTCAAGGTTTGATTACGGAGTCTTTCACAGCTTACAGTCAGATGTAGATCCGTGGCGAACTTTACGGGTGACTCTATCCCATGCTTAAGGGACCTTGGCCCGTAGTAAAGCTCGGTCAGATCAGATGATCTGAAATGAGTCTCAGATAAGGTATGTACGATGGACGAGCGACCACTCCCACATGCTAAAGTGCGAACCGACCTGACAGGTGAGCGCCAAGGCATGTGCCGCGATGATCACACCTGACTTCCGTAAGAGCAGCGTCAATTTTGAGTTGATCTTACGGAAATAGTGTGCAAAGGATGTGAGACAGAGAAAGTCCCGTAAGTTGCTTGTGAGTAACTTACGGGATACGTAATGTGACCTATATTGCGTATTAGAGTGCGCGAAACTGCACGTTTTTGGTCCTATGCATAGAAAAAATCGATGAACAGCTGATTGTAGCTAAGAATAGAGGAAAACAAGATTTTTCTTTCTTGCAGGGTTTGCCTCATTCTCGTAAATAAATGCGTGAATAAAGTTCTTTTGCTTATCTCATCGTCTTTCTTTTAAAAATTGTAGTTTCTCATGAGAATCCATGCCAAAACATAGTGATACTGTTTTGTCCACCCATTAGCTAGTGAAGTTTTTGACAGCGGTCATCATCGACTTTTGCTATTGGCAGCTATCAATGATTGTCTGCTGCCGCCAAGGTAATCCCGCTAGGCAATCTCGAACCACGGTCGCTGGCGTTGCATCGCAATCTAATCCATTTAGCCATGCCCGAACAAATGGTGTTGCTGTTCTTTCTTTGAGAACACGCACCTTTGTCATTTCTATAGAACGATCAACATCCAAATCAATAGCTTTGGATGCCTGACTGAGGCGCCTTGCGATCAACTTAGGCCCGCCTCAAGGGATATGCCCAACTGGGGGGTTTACTAGAGGTTATTTCAGCACTAAGTACGTAGAGATTTATAGTCTTTTAGATAATTATCTGAAGACTTTGTGTTTGAAAACAATAGGTAATGTACTGACTAAATTTCAACATCATAGTGTAAAGTAGAGCGACAACTCCAGCTTAAACTTTAAAGTTGATTGCATTTTTCGATAGACGATGAAGACACGATTGCTGAGTAAGAGTAGTTAACTCCAATGACGAATCGCAATCATCCAGTTCTGATAAAATATTTGTGTTGCCGACGGAATCCTGAGTGGACTTATTAGTCAGTTCAAAAGCAGTGTTCAATCTAATCCTTTGAATTTATGCGGACTCTTTCGCTGAGTTGATTCTATAGATATGTACATCTTGGAAATTGCGAAAAATGCGAAAGCAGTACTTTTAAAGAATTTTCCACGTGAGACACTGTCAGATGGATGCGTCTCCAGCAAAGGCTAGAAATAATACGTACTTTTTTTAATATGTGTTGTTGTTCTAATTTTTGTCTCAATCTTTACAACTGCTAACGGAGTCCATCATCTTAAGCATGAACTAAAGACTTCGTGACAAATTTGGTAATAAGTATGAATGCAAGAAACATTCTGATGAGTGATATAATAACGAGAGTACAACTAAAAATCCGCAGACGATATAATCTAATTTTATCCCGTAAGCTTTCTCAGTTGCTTATTTTTAATGTCAAAAGAAAAACAATCAAGTCTTAACTTGGAAGATCTGCCAATAAACTGATGAGCAGAACAATACGAGCGCGAGTTCATAGAACTGGAGAAAGTAACAGGTTAGACCACTAGAAGCATAATTTCTCAGACGACGTTAAAGGCAGTAGCTCGGCAAATCCTCGACCTGAAGTTTTTTCGTTTACCTGGGGTAATTCGACGCAATGACTTTGAAAATGCACCTTAAAGAGCACGAAAATGTCGAAAACCCACATTTTCCAAGGGTTTTTATTTTGAATTGGACGAGTGGACCACTCCCCGCCATGATTAGAGACGAAGAGTCGTTGCGGGACCCTCATGCTTATAGCATTGCGGCATCCCGCCTCTGACGGTGGGAGGGGGACCGCAAGCTCGTTCGAGCGCGTGTGGGAATAGCTTGCGCGCACGGATTTAGGGGCAGTTTTCTAGGCAGGGACAGCATGTAGTGCCCTCGGACCTGCTCTTTTCTGATGTTTGGGATGCAAGCAACCTTCCATATCAAAATTTCGAGATGTTTGGTTTTGCCGAGCCACTGCCTTTGATATTACGGGCATAGATTAATATTAGGTAGTCGAAAGTTTCTTTTTCGTTTTTTTTTCTACCATCAAAACATATGGAATAAAGGAAAGCAAGCGCTTTAGACATTATCCAACGCAGGTTTTTTCCTCTTTATAGCAGTCATGTTCTTGTGCTAGTTACTCTTGTTTAGTGAATAATTGCCGAGATTTCAAAACCATGGTTTTTACCATGTCCAACGTTGTAATTTTCAAACTTTTCCTTTTATATTTTTGAGAAAACTTTGATAACAGTCAGATAGCGCAAACAAAGTGCAGTGTAGTGCGATTCTTCTTAAAGCTGGTTTCTCAAAATTTTCAAAATTACCATTCTGATGTTATCAATCTCCATTTTGGTCGTCCCAAAACTCATAGAACATTGGACGGCGCACAACTAGGATGCCAGTCGAGCAGCTTTTTCTCTTCTTTTAACAGGCGTTTTTCCTTCTCAATTTGTGGGTGACTTCACGAATCGGGAAGAAAATGAAATTGAAACTAACATAATCATGATTCTCGATTTTAAACCTGTCGCGGATGCACCCTTAAAATGCGACATTTGATTTTTCGGAGCGTTAAAAACCCTCTTACTTTGTGAAGATAGCGTATAATCACAATCGATCTTTGAACTTGTTAATGTTTGGAGCGTTTGTATATTTACTCCACAAAATTGAAGACTTTTGGAAAGTTATAAAGAGTAGATTGAATTGTATTGCACTTCGTTTAATAACTAGGCTTCGACAAATGCTTTGCGTAAATAAGTTCTCTCACCCCGTTTATGGAAACAGTATCAAGGGAGCAGAAATTTGATAATTGGAGTGGGTGGTGCGTAAAAATACAATGAAGGTCAAAATTTTCGTGATCTTCAGACTGAAATTTTGCTAAGGTCCACAAAAGCAAAGATCATTGAATCTAGCTTTCAATTCGTCAGATACAGCCTCAATGAGAGCGAAAGACGCGACACACATTCTAGGATCTTGAGTAACTTTTAATGACCTTATCTTGTATATAAAGCTAAATTTTTGTTTGTTTATGTGTGTCTGTACATGCCGAAAATAGAAAATTTTATTCTGAACCAATCCAAACCAAACTTTGCAAACATACACTTTGGAGCATCGAGTGTCAAAGGCTACTCTTCGTCATCGATAGCTATCGATTTTATGGCTTTTTCGGAGCTAGGGGGCGGGAGTTGGCACAGCAGATAAGTGAGCATGGTGAATACGAATACGTTATTGACACCGGGCGGAGCCGGGTTTGCTAGCTAGTTAATCTGAAAACTTAGACAACCATCTCTTAGATCATCCTTTCACCATCTTTTAAATCATGCTTTCATTCACTCGTGTTCACGCATCATATCAGAACAATGAATGTACACAACTTTATCAAAATATAATAATTTGATGCTTTCATAATTTCATAGACTCGGAAATTTCCTGCTTTCGCTGTAGATAGTACGACCAGTACACAATCTGAAATTTTATTCATCTATATATAAAACTCAAAGTGTGTTTGTCTGTTAATAAGTATGTTTTTTATACAAATCTTTCTTAGTGGACCAAATGAGCTGGAACTTTGCATAATTATGTTTTCAACCCCGGCGCAGGACATAGGCTACTTTTCGCAGCGATTTACTGGACCTTTCTGTTGATTTGTTGATTTGTTTACTTACATCTGGAATAATGAGGCTTGACATGCTTTAACCAATCATTTTGCCATGATCATATAGTCAGGGATAGTCATTGTAATCTCAATGTCGGGGAGATGCGGGCAATTCGTTCAAAGCCCCTTTTGCACAGAAGAAGCTCAGAATCGTAGGTACAAGTAACTTCTTTTTATCTAAACTGGAGTCCCGAGTGAAATCGGGACCGCCGGCTAGTATATATATAAGCTCTTCCAAGACGAAGGTCAGTTTGATCTGCGAAGTGGCTGTGACGCAGCCGTGTCACAGCCGCGTTGCATGTCGAACCAACGGTCTTCGTCTCGGAAGAGCTTATAAAACTGATGTGTAGTATGTATGTTTGTATGTACGTATGTTCCGAATAGAAATTTTTATCTCTGAACCGATCCGGACCAAACCATATATAAATGTACTTCCGGGCCAGCGGACGTCAAAGGCTCTTTTCGTCATCGATCGATGTCGATTTTATCGATTTTTAACAATTTTTTTGTGAAGTTCGACCTGCGTGGCTGCGAGTTGGCGCAGGTGGGTAATTCAAGCATGCTGATTACGAATGCAATATTAGTTTTCAAAATTATCCTTTACTTTTACACATTTTATCAGTTTTTGCCAAGTTCGAGCTAAGGAGGGGTTGAGAGTTCGCATAAGGAGGTAATCGAGCATGCTGATCACATCACGAACATAGCGGGAATAGGGAGTTGGCATGTAGAAGTGGGCACAGGAAAAGGCTGTAAAGGGATAGGGATGGGACCTTTCTTATAGTGTTTTAACAGGGCCGGGCGGAGCCGGGTAAACCGCTAGTACATGATATTCTCGGTAAAATAATCGAAAAGGTTTTTTTTGACATCACTGAATTCAACCTAGTTCAAATGATTTAACTGCAAAGAGCGCATGTTACTTAATATAACTCATTACAAAGTTTTTTCTATCTTTCTTCTTTATTGCAGTTTTTGCAAAATTGAGCTTGTAAATGGCGTTAGAGCATTGAAGCCTGAAATTTCTAATGGTACTGATGCTAATCGAAGCTAGAATTTGAAAAAAACCAAGATAATAGTAAGTATTGGGCCCTATATCAAAATCACTAACCACTATGAAAGTCGCCACCATTGTGCTTCTGTATGGCTCGTAGACAAAGACCGACATGTTGGAGGGACCTCATTCCCGTGGCCGTATTCATCAACGAACCCTGAGGGTTAAACTAACCCTGGAGATAAAGGCGTCAGTTACGCGTGCGCTGTGCAAACTCACATCACAGAATGCCTAAGTACGTGCTAAATTCACTTTATACTTCTGTTCTTTCACTGTTATAGTAGTAGAATCAACGAATAAGCTTCTAACACTAGTTTTTATTATACATCTCTAGCATACTTGTGCAGCATCCAATCTTACAGCGTGAGTTTATTTTCATTTGTGCATTTGTGCAGTGTAAGTTCTACTTTTGCGCAGTTCGTTTTACACCGGGCTTGTGCTACTCTTTTAAGGGAAAGGGGGTTATCATAAAGGAATTCTTCTGTTTGGGCACTTGCCAGAGTGGAATGCGCAACCTTTTTTCCTCGTTGCATTCACCAAAACTAGACTTTTTCTCACAAAGTCACTGTTTTATGCACTTCGAATTTGAACATAAAACGAAGTCGAAACTAAATACTATAAAAACAACTAACACTAAATACTACAACACTCGTTGATCGTTTTCCATAAAACCATTAGATGCGAGTAAATGTTTGTATGAAGTGTCAGGGTAGAGTTAACGTTGCTCTAAACTAGGGTTAAATTAACCCTGATATATTACGTAAGTTTTACCCTCCAGGGTTAGTTTAACCCTCAGGATTCGTTGATGAATACGGGTTAATCGCTTTCGGGGTAAGGTTTACCCTCAAGGGTAATCTACCCTTGAGGTTAAGCCAACCCTATCTTTCATGAATACGGCTTAATTGCTTTCCAGGGTTAAACTAACCCTCCAGGGTTAGTTTAACCCTCAGGGTTCGTTGATGAATACGGCCACTGGAGGGAAACACCTCTTACAACTCCTTCTACAGGACCGTTCCGCAGGTAGAAACCATGAATTTGGAATCAGAGTTTCAAGCACATTAAGGTGATATATGTCTCATCTGGATTGTCCCGAGCAATTTGAGATCCTTTTCTTGTTAGTGCCTTTCTTTGGTTGGCAAATTTGAACACCAGAGTGTCGCGCCAAGATAAGTTTTGAAAATATGAAAAAGGTCTGCACCGGTAAGGAGGCTGACGGCAGAAATGGCGTTTATTTGTTCTTTGAGGTCTTAGGTAAGATTACGGTAAATTTGTGGTGAACGTTTAATGTCCCAAATTTTTGGCATTCTTGACACAAAGCTGACGTTCTGAGCATGAAATCAGAATTTATTTTAGCAACATTGTACGGTAGATTACATCAAAAGTACTGCAAAGCAAAAAAGAAGGTAAAGTTGAATACTGAACAAAATACGAGATTTGGTATATGAGACTATGCCTGTCTCTGGCTTGCAACCTGAGTCACATATTGTAGTCTCTTACAAATTAGAATGGTTAATGCCATTGCTCCTTCTCTATGTCTACGGTCCCGAGATATGTGACCACTGTTTGGTTACTGATAAAAGCATCAGGTACCATTCTGTAGAACTGACTTTAACTTAGATTTACAGTATAGACCCTTCGTCACCGTTCTCTCTCCATTACTTTAGCATACGGTAGGAACTTTGAAGAGAGTTTTGCGTCATTGTGAGTCACATTTCATTTCCAAAAAGCCTAAAGGAGCTGAAAACTGCTACATTAAGTTAATCGGAGTTGCTGTCGAATATCGAACTTTACTTCACTAACGCTTTTCTCATAAGTTATGCCAGATAGACCGTTACAATCGATTTTTTATACTCGTCGAATATTTGATTACGCCATCTGAAAAGCTCTTTGAACGCTCATCAAGTTATGTAGTGAAATCAGCAAGCATAAAATACTACATTATTTTGAAGATTTTTTGATTTTTCTTGAACAAGCTTGTTTTGGCAATTATTTGTAGGTATACCATCATACTGTTACGTGAGATAAGTATTATGGACTACGAGAGAGGAGATGTTCCGCTTTTTAATGTTAAGCTCGAGCCTACATGGGAACTGTCGTTTTTATATAGTGCATTGTTGATGCATGTGCCATGCAGTATATGTTGATCAAAAACTGGTTTTTCTGGTCTATGCTCATTCGGTGAGAATTGAATAAAATACTGCAAAGGATTTCTTATCAGGATTTATGATTTCTTGCATGTGAATAGGAAAATAAAGTGTTCAGCCATGATTGTTTTGTAGAGTTAGTATTATCTAAGAATCACCCAGCATTGAGTATTACATATCCGCGTCACTACCGTCCCTCTTCCATGTATACAGCTATGGATGAATGAGAGACCCCAATAACGATTCGCTACGCTGTGGCTGATTCCGACTGGAGTCCGCAGGGCTGCCGGCGAGCGGCTTAGCCGGAATTGAGGTGTTGCGTCAGGCGGTCGTCGCCCGGTCACCAGCCGATAAATGTATCTGAGTGTTTGGTCGACCGTAAACGCAGCAAAAGGTTTAAATGCACGTCAAAGGTAACCGATTCAACACCTAATAGCGCGCAATCGTGAGGCGCACAGACTTTTTTCCGCTATCATTATTTCCTCATTATTTGCTTTGGAACACACATTAGATTTGTTGATTTTGAATAGCATGCATCTTTAGATCTCCTTCAGCCGAGTTTGCTGCTACTCAACTTCTCGTAGCTTCAATTTGTTGCAATTAGTTCACTACTATTGTTTTCTGCGTGCCTTAACATGGTTTTTTGTAATTTTTGCTCTTTCCTTATAACTTTCATGTTGCTGTTGCGTTGCTGTTAATAGGCTGTCATCAGTCGTTCTCATTTTACTAAAGGAACCATTTGGTGCTATGGTCAAAGTGGCATATATTGATAAAAGTCTCAAAACTGTAGTTTGGAATACATCTTCAGTGGTCTGTTTGCACGCTAGCTACCAGAAACTCCTCAATCATGATCAATAAAATCTAAGCTTTGCATGTGTTTCTCCTATCTAGTTGCAAAAAACTTGATCTACTTTGCCCGCGATGTTTAGTCTAGCTCAGCTGCCAGCGACTGACGCTGCTCTAGCTGCACTTGCATGTGTCGTGCCTGATATCCCAGATGTAGTTTACAATAAGTAGCAGCTGTATACTCACAGAAACCAGAAAAAAACGCTGATTCCTGATTAACATATTAGCTGCGCCTACTGCATCTACCTTATGCAACACTATCGTCGTTTCCTCGGAATGGATGGAGCGGGGCGTGTCACTACACAAGTCCGTAAGTGTCCGTAATTGGTACGGTATTAGCTATACAGCTGATCATTTTCCGACTCAACAATAAAAGGTGAGTTTTTTTGCAACTAATCGTGCTTTTCTTTTCAGATTTCGACGACAATTGCTAGAAGTGAGTCGTAAACGTTCAGTTACACTTGTTTTAATAGTTTGACAGTTGTGACGCACTGTCGGTGCGGATTTCTGCATTATAGCTGTACATTGCGTGCTATTTCTTCTTTTTTAAACTTATTAATCGTGTTTATTAGATTTGCTTTTACTATTTCATCGAGATTATCGGAATTGAAAAGAAATGTAACTTTCAACCTTGGGATTCACCTTCGAATCTCAAACTGAACAAAACAACATAAGCATGAAGTGCCGGTAAGGAAAGTGAAGTCAGATTCAGTAGTAAAAGTAATTCAATAAACACGACTGTTAAGTAAAAAGAAGAAGTAATACCATGCAGTGTACAGCTATAATGCAAAATTCGCACCAGCAGTGGTTCAAAAGAGAGGAGCTAACATAAAACAAGTGTAATTGAAGACCTACGACTCACTACTAGCAACTTCCGTCGAAATCTGAGAAGAAAAGATTGATTACTTGCAAAAAACTCGCCTATCATTGTTGAGTCGGAAAATGATCAGCTGTTCGACAATATCGATTCTGCGCCGTAGCCAATACCCTACCAATTACGAACACTTACGGACTTGTGCGGTGACACGCCCCGACTATTCCAGGAAAACGACGATATTTGGCTAATATCTCTCACAGGAGCTACCTACAGCGCAGTGGCAGAGCGCGCTGCTCCGTTGTTCGGCATCGGACGACATGCAACTTCTGCGGCAGTCAAATCACGGTGTGCCCAGCATACAACCATTTGTTTGGAGTGAGTACGACCGCGCCTCCTTCACGTTGTGACGGTCTCGTAAGGATTACCAGAGGCCCAAGTGATTTACCGCTAAGTGGTAGTGTCAAACTAGTACGGGTGATTAAGGTGATTCAAGCAAATGTTTCAGTGGGAAGGTTTTTCAATCTACTTTTGATTGTATAAGCTTCTCTTTCAGCTTTTGAACTTGTAGCAATAAGAGAGATGCACTTACATTGAAAATGAAGAAACTAAGCGGAAAGGCAAATCTTGACAATTTATCGATCTTTTCTGGAGGCCAAGACAACGATGTCTGAAAAACGAGTTCATTATGCTGATTAGTTGGAAGCTGAAACTAGCAGCATTGAGCTTTTCTGAATATAGTAACCTTAGGTTGTGGGTAACCCAAACCATAACGATTTCTTACGGAAGGAGGGAAGGGAAGTGTATCAGATTCAGTCTTTTGCTGAAAAAATGTAGTTTTCATCTTTGAATCATCATCTTCATCAACGCTCATTCGCTCCTGGCGCCAAAGTTTGGCGTGAATACTATCATTTTCATACGCTGCACAGAGAGCTGTGACAACGTTCCAAAGGGTCGAAATACATATTTGTTCAGCTGGCGTCTTATTTTGTTGATGAGTATATATACCCAAAATACTATCCGGATGATGGAGCGTAGACTGAATAGTGGATATGCACTTGAGCACGCGATTCGAGATTAGGGGATTTTGTGACCCCATAGCTGAACGATAGTTGCTTTAGGAATTAGGCAAAGGCGCAACCTTTTATCATGCTTCTTGCAATTCATTTCCATGTTTATATGTTCCAGGTACATGTAAATTGCCTACGATCAGAGGTAGCCTTTATAATTTATTTAACACTGAACGTATATTCGTTTAAAATTCTATTGTTCCGCTTCGGATCCCGTCAACAACTCTGCTCCATTACTGCGGTTGCTTTCGGCACGAGGGTTGCAAATGTCAAGAAAAAAATCGTTTTGAGGGAAAGGGCAAAAGAGAGCACACACATGCGCACTACAAGTTCTCAGCAAGTTAAACACAACTGATACGCGCAAATGCGATCTTGCTTAAGTTTCCTTGCACAAGTTTAGTTTTCCAGCAAACAATTCCTCCTTAATAACGCATAAATAACAATATAACACCAGATTCGGTACATAGAGCAAGGGCTGGGAGTAGCAAAATCAGAAACGCAAAAGAGATATCACGGGACTGAAGGTTGTAACAAGCTTGTTTGAAATCCTTATATTTTTGAGGGACAAATGATTCGTTTGCAACGCACAGGCAATGATTTGGCTTCAGATATGGGGTTTATACGCGAGTGAAAAGTGAAGAGATGATGTACAATACCGCTCATAATTCTTCAAAAAAGTCGTCGCACTTCGGCGCACTCTTCCACGCCGCGCATTTCGCTGCACTGTGGCGCGTTGCGGCGGAGCGTGCATGAGTGCGCCGTAGTGCGGCGACTTTGTTGCCGAATTATCGCTGCTATATTCTTCTTCAACCTGTCACTAAGATTACAATTATTTTATTACGGCTGACGTTCCGGAGTCGCTGTCTTTCACTGAGCCTGGAAAGATCACAGAATATTTGTGCTTTTTCGAAGTTATCTGATGACAAGATATAACCCTACGTTATATGTAGAAGCCTGAACGATAACAGAGACGTGAAGAACTGAGGCGCTTATCGAGAGAGCCGTTATGTGAGCAAACACCGTAGGTGGAGTGCAAATTACTGTCAGTTAATTTCCCAGCCCCTTGAGTATTTGACCCTGACCCCGTAGATCAGAACCTACAAAGAGTTTAATATAGCGCCAGCACTCTGGTCACGGCGATGCATTCGTCTTCACGGTTCATATTCGGGTTTTTAAAGGTGATCCAAAAGGCAGCTAATGTTTTGCGTGCTAGTAATTAGGGCTCGTGCGACAAGATCGTGACTGTTGTTGGAAATGAACTGTCGCTATGGTATTGCCTGCGATGCGCACCTAGGACTGTAGATGACTTTGACATTTCGAGGCTGTTTGAGTGCTCCTTGATCCTTACGCTTAGAGTCCTAGCAGTCTACTCTATGTACTGATGTCCACACCGCTGACATTTGGCAACGTAGATCACCACCGACTCCAAGCAATCACCGGGCCTCCCTCATGGACATGCAGCGCAATGAAGATTGGGCATAACGGTCATATGCGCATTATTGATCTGCGCAGTTGGCGCGATTAAAGGAGAAATCTTAAATGCGAACGTGCAAAGGCAGATCTGTTTTAGAGATGCCGTTTGTCATCCTTCTGCCGGGCCCTGCGCAGGAGCGCTAAATGGCTGTTTCAGTCTTTCTACGTCATCGCAAGGTCTTCTCTGTTGAAGTCGGCTGCAGTAAGTTGCGCTTCAAATGTCGACAACTAACATTCGTTTCACAAGCGTCTCCAAATCGAGCGCCTTCAACACCAGCGCTACCACCACGCCTAAATATTAGGGGCACATAAGTAATGCAACTTTTTATATAACTTTTTCTTTTTGAGCGTAGCGCATTCGTTTTCTGGCAATATGAAGATAATGATGTAATCTGCAAGTACAGGCATTTTTGCCGACCATCTTATGTAAGGTTTACGATAGGTTTACGGTACAATGAAAATTTTTTTAAGATTGCGTGAGATTTCGCGTAACTTAGCCTATGGGTTATTCAACATGCTGATCACAAAAATGAGACCCACTTCGCATGAAAAGACCTCTTTTGTAAGGTCAAGGAAGGAGTCATTTTGACGACAAATGAGTACGATATTTGTATTTAACGTGTGTTTAGGTGTTGGATTACCCTTCTGTGCAAAGTTTTAGCGAATTCTGATGTTTCGCAGCTTAGTTATTAACAGATTGCTTTTCAAATTTGACGCATTTGACTTGTTCTACTTCTCAAAGGCACCCTATCTTGATTTGCTTACAAATTTCACTTCTTTCTTCACTGCTTCTGATGTGTTGACTTCTTGCTACATGCTACCTGACGGGTTTCTTTCGATCCACTGACTTCCGTTCATCGATCCTCTTGACCCTGCGCTCACTACCTATTTCTGCTGGACCTTCCTCGAGTTCCTGCTTGTATTCTCTACTAAACATGGCCGATACTCCCGTTTACCCGTTGAATCCTATCGACAGGCTAAAAAGAGGAAGATAGCATTTGATCTACCTCCATCGCCCGGTTTGGAGAGCGCTGCTGTTAAAGGATGAAAGTCTACAATACGCCCGTACAATAATCGCTTAATCTGATGGAATCAAAGAAGCAATATGAAGTACTCACGGAACGTAATCGTGAGTTGAACGAACAGCTTTCTTCTATGAATCATCAGCTGGATATTTTGAAGTTGAGAAAATGACAAATTGCTATCTTATGTTGTTTCGCCTAGTTCTCATGCCCTGTCCAGGAATGACGTTGCATCGAATCCTCCTTTAACCAATAAAGATATAGAAAGGAAACGGTCAGGCGTAGATAGGAATTCCTGAGTACAGAAATGCTAGGCTAGGTTCAAAGTTAATCATGATTACACATGCACCGACCAGATCTTTGATTTTTTGGGAATCGAGTGCAGGCCCGTTCGGTATACCGGCAGGGCCCGGCACGAGGTGGGCAAACGGGGTTTTCCAAAACGAATTCCCCTCTGATCCCAATAGTTTTTACGAATACCCCCTTGAGCCCAAAAATGACGCTTTGTGCCTGTGCAACGAGAGCACCGGCCACATTTCGCTTAAAAGCGCTCAAAAGCGCCCAAAATGCTCAAATTCCTCTAATTACTCCTCACCTGTATCAAGATAGAAAACAGGAAGAAGAATAAGTAAGAAAAATGATGAAGGAATGAAAAAATACCAAAGTAACGCAGTTATAGGAGTGAGAGATGTCGTTCCCGCGCGTATCGATTGACTGGGGCGCGCTTTCCATCTTAGAAAGCAAGGCTGCTGATGCGATTTTGGGCTCTAACAAAGACAAGAGGAGGAGTTTTGGTACCAAAATCTCGCCATATAGTAAAATTTAGGTGCACAACAGATTTATGTAAAAATTTTTCAAAAAATTATGTGAATTGAAAGTTTTGCCCACCTCAGGTCGGCATTAGGTGGGCAATTGCCCACCTAATTTGGAAAAAAGTTGAGCACGCTCTTCGTTCACATAAGTTTTTCATAATTTTTTATATGTTATTCCTTAATCCTACCGCGCTTATACACAGCGAATGTCGCGCGATTTCGTCATCTCTGCGTTGCAAACGAGCCATTTTTCCATTTTCGTGAAAGTGGGAAATTTTCAGAAAAAAGCTTGCCACAACCTTCAGTCACATAATTTTTCAATGAAACTTCTAAGTCAAGCCCTGCAGGCCCGTGTTCATGTACTTACCAAGTTTCATACTGTATGGTCATCTGTGCGCTGCAAACGAGCCATTTGAATTCACATCTTCATTTACCAGTTTAGCAAATTTTTTGGAAAAAATGCTTATTACTCCTCCCATTCACATAAGTTTTTCATAATATTTCAAACGTTGTTTCTACTGGCCTCTTTTCGTTCGCTTACATGATTTGGTGCTATATCGTTACGCCTGCATTTAGAACTGATCATGTAATCAAGCTGTTCAACGGCATCGCTCATGACGTCGCGCATGCGGCAATTAGCGGCAACGCGGCGTAGCGCGCGAACTCTACTGTGCGTTGAGGTTTATAAAAACTATTTCCCAGTGAATTAGAAGTATAAGGTAAGCATGATTCGATATTCTTTTGCTTGCACTTGGAATCTTCTTCCGGGGCCCCGCCCCGGATTCCGCAAAAACAATATCCTCTTTGCTTTTTGGCCCTTAAAAAGATTTCCAGCTTGTCATTTGCCCACCTCGTGCCGGGCTCTGTATACTGGATGGGCAGCACATCCCTCTAGAGGTAGGCTTCTCAAAATTGTTTTACCTTCATCTTACTTTGCCAATCTTCTGCTGCGTCGGGCTTCACAAATGAAATGCTGTCTTTCAAAAAAGGCAATTTTATAAGGCCCTCTCTTACAAAAAAGAGATGGAAAGGCAAGGAAAGGAAAGGAAGCTCGACGTAGCAATGCAACTAATCGATCGATGTCTTCGATGCTGTGACCCGGTCACCCGCAGCCTTATTGATCGCATTGATTTGGTTGATGTGCATAGTCAGCAGCCTCAAAAAAGGAGCGAATGGTTCTGATAATTTGAATGGGTAGTAGTGTTTCCTCGGACTGGGGATCATTTCCTTGAATGCCTTCTAACTATTATCAGATCTCCCTGCAGGAACTATGTAGTCTGACATACGTATACGTAATTAAAACCTGGCTATTATAGGGATAACTGAAAGCTGGTTGAGCGATGAAGTCAGCGATAGCTCTCTATTTGGTAATTGGGATAATTTCGTCATTCATAGGTATGATAATTGAGTCGGAAAAAGAGGAAAAGGAGTAGCTCTCATAGCCCGATCGATCTTAATTCTAACATTGTGTTTAGTGAATCAGTAGCAGATGCGAGATACTTTGCGTTGATATCTGCTTACGTTTCAATGCATATCGTTGTTTTGTACAGAGCTGCCTCTTGCAGTGTAAACAAAAACGACCAAATGGTCAGAGCCACCATAGAGATCTTTTGGGGTGCAGTAATCTGGTTCTTATGAGTGACTTTAACTTCCCCTCTATTGAATGCGCAGTCCAACCTTCAACCAGGGGTGGCACAGCTTCAAGTTTCTTGAAAATATGCCAATTATACGATTATCACAGGAAGTACAACATTCTCATATACTGAGACATAATATCCTGGATCTAGTTTTAGTTAATGATGAGGATTTGATCAAAAGGGTTCGAGTTGAGGCACCATTGGGGTCAAGTGATCATGCAACAGCTAGGTTCTTGCTCAAAAACTACGCCGGTCACACGGAGAATATTATACGGAGAGATTACAAACATGCAGACTGGGACAATTTGATTAAATACTATGCCGATATTGATTGGTAAGGGTTTTAATTCAGTCAATAATGTTAACGAAATGTATGAATTGTGTTTACTCATTCTCACCATGCCATTGATAGATACGTTCCTATAGTCTCAACCCACCAAAAATCGTGTACCTTCCCAGCTATCTCCGTAGTCTTATGATAGAAGAGAGCGTGCATGGAGTAGCCATGGTGGGAGCAATAGAACTGGAGCGGGTATAACAGAATGAACATTATTTTTACCAAAAGGCTTAGAGAATACAATGCTTCTATTAGAAGAAAAATAGTCCGACGGCGAAGAAAGGTCCATTTTTTCGATTGATCATTTCTAGATTCAAACAAAAGAGCAAGATTGGAGTAATTAAGAGGACAACGGGTTTGATATCTGATGGTTTCGATAAAGCAAAACATTCTGCTGTTCTTGGAAACAGCTTCCAAGAATATGCCTCCACGAATTCCAGTTCACATTTTCCGTGTCTTCCTGCAATGTAGGAAGAACCCGGTATTTCTAGCGTCTCTTGGCTTACATCTCTTGCCTCATTCGACTTCACTCACACCGGATTTTTACCTCTACATTTCATGAAATCACTAAACACTTTACAGCCGGATCTCTTCAGTTATTGTGCAGCTTGAGCTTTTATGAAAGCAAAAGTGCTGTCTAGATGGCGCAATTTATAATTTATACCAAGACCGAAAAAGAAACCGTATAATGCTACAAAAAACTTTCGACTTGTCAGTATCACGTCTATTTTTGCCAGACTTTTTGAGAAGATATTGAAGAAACATATAGTCAAGCTTTGAATAAACACAAGATCATTTCACCGGTTCAAAATGGATTTTAGAGTGATAAATCTATCACTACAGCCATGCTTCAATCTCTAAATGATTGGACGCAAAATTCTGATAAGGGACTTAATATCGACATAATCTATCTGGATTTTACCAAGGCTTTTGATAAATTATCTCATGTTAAATTATTGCAAAAGTTAACCATAGTCGGTATTCATCCTCGCGTTATCGCTTGGATCAAAGCATTCCTTGCAGACAGATCTTTTACGGTTCGCATCAATATTGCATTTTCAAGGACTAGAAAAATCCACAGCAGAGTCCCACAAGGGGGAGTTCTTTCTCCTGTGCTGTTCAACATTTATACGTTCGAGCTACCAAGTATTCTTGTTAACCTGGGGGTTTCTTGTTGTGCATTCGATGGCTTAAGCTGTATGCTGTTGTAAGGGACGTGTCTGTTTATAATTCTGTTTATAATGTGTTGTAAAAAACCTTAGCCTAAGTTTATAACTGGCCACAGGGGTGTTCGTTGTTCATTTCCAGGGAAAAAACCCAAGGTGATCTATGTTGGATTGAAATACTGCAATCCAAAGATCAAATATCTTGTGAGGGATTTATATCCTCAAGAAGTCGACTCAATAAGGGATCTGGAGTTTATAGTTAAGAGACCTCATTTCTGATAAACAATGTGAAATGATTGCTGACAAAGCGACAAGAATGGCTTATAATTTGTTCGGAGCATTTGACAACAAATATACAGTTGTCTTCTTGCAAGTATATAAGTCATTTATAACACCCACGTTGGAATATGGCATCGTGATTTACAATCCATATTTGTGCAAAATAATACACTATATTGAAAGAACCAAAACAACTTCACTCGCCGAACGGAAACATGCGGAATAGTATTCTGGGGCTTTCTTTGCTTGCGTACAAGGCGTAGAAGTCGCAAATTTGATTTTGTGATGGCGCATAAGATTGCATATGGTACATGTGTATTAGAATTCAAAACGTTTTTCCAACCAGAGCATCCAATACAAGAAGCGGTAGCAGAAAGCTTACTATCCCTAGAGCCAGGTTAAAGCTACGCAAAAAATTCTTCACGTGCCGTATCGTTCAGGTCATTGATAGGCTTTTGAGGCGACATTTGTTGTTTCCTGCAAAATTATCTCAGTTCAAGGCTGTTCTTATGAATTGTCTGCAGTCCTATAATAATTAATACTGATCTACTTATTCTGTTCACATGATTTAGCATTACGTGTTTTTGTGTTAACAACACTGATCCTCTTATTGCGTTCATACGATCTTTGATACTTATGTGTTGTTGTTGTTTCTTGTTGATGTTTTATTGCTCGTGTTGTTGAAACATAGGGTTATGTCTACGAATAAATGAAACAAAAATGCATTTATAATTCCTTTTTAGTATGTTTGATTCAAGTTTTGAAAAACTTCATATTTGCCAAAAAACCGTGAAATTTTTTTCGATTTCCAAGGGTTTTCGGAAAATGCAAAAGTTCTTCTACCAGGTTTTAAAATCAAACGGTTTGCGCAAACTTGCAGCTTCCGTCACATTCCACATGATGTCAGATAATGAGAATGCTACGTTCACAGCAAAACTTATGTGCCAACCTCATAATTAAGGTAACAAGACGTGCGCCTCAATAGGTTAGTATAAGTGTCACATTATCTGTGCATAGATCGGTTGGTAAGGGGTTCAATAATTCGAGCCCAAGTCACCCCGGCAGCTATGCGCCAGACATGCTTTACGTTCAACCCCCGCGGTACGGGATACGGCATGCAGTCAACTTCATAAAAATAGGTAAAATGATGCATAAGTATCCAATTTTTTAACGTGATATTGTTGTTGTCAGGGATATTGTACATTCGCGCTCCACACAAGGCGTCATTGACTGTGCGTTGTAAACAAACTGTTTGTTTCATTTGAGCATTAATTAAATCTTGTTTGGAGCATGTTATTCATGTATTACCTTAATAGTGAAGCAGATGAGCATGCCTGAAGTCCAGGTGTATGTGTGTTCAGCACGTTCTACAATGTTTCTTTCGCTGTGTGCCCGAAACGAAGTTACTTGGAATGCACTGTGTTAGACTTCGGACAGAACTCAATCCGCGACAACTGTCAATGGTGGTTGCAGGCTTGAAGGGGGAAACATGCGTTGCTGTGTTAATAAACTTTTCTGGCTTTAAACCACATACTTATAATAAATGCATTGCATAGTGCCCCTAATGTCTATTCTTTCAGCGACTCGGTAATCACAGCTTCACTTTGTTTTTCAACCCTATCATTGCGATATTCATTCGACTGAGGGTTGAGCCAGACTAGTGGCGTACTTTCCTGTGCATAAAGATGTGAGGCGAACGATGCATACGTCGCGTACGCCACTCAGTCTGGCCCAACCCTGAGATAATTTGGTGATTAGGTATTTCTATAAAATCCTCCTCCCGGCTGATGAGCAGGGATGAGCAGAACAAACGATGAAACAAAAGTGGCTTTCACTTCGTAGCGTTATAGATTAAAAAAACCTTACCTTAGCCAATGCTTGTTGTACATTACATCCAGCTGGAAACATGAATCTCTTTTCATAAATGGCGGAGCCTCTCGGTGATCCATCAGAAGGCAGCTGAAAGTTGAAAACTTTCTAAAATCGGAGTATAATACATTTAGACTCAAGATTTATCGACCTGCGGCTTCCTCGTTGCCACCTTGTTGGACCCCTTACTTGTCACTCGTACTTTGTAACCAACAATCGCCAACTCAAGAAGGCTACAGAAGATAAATGTCATTGATGCCAGCATCCAAACATCTAAATTCTCAACAGTGGAGGGTTTTTCAAAGATATATTATATAATTGAAGTATTGCAAATTCACCACGAAATTATAACTACCACTTCACTCGCGGAGTATATAAACCAGGAGTTCAAATTACCCAATGCAGCACTCATCACGCGAATTTTCTACTCAAACGAAAACTTGCAGCTTACCAATTGCTTTCACGTATGACACTCGCGGTAGGTTCCTCATGATATTGCCAAACTGGAAAATCATAGCTATTAGTGCATTGACACCTAACATTGTGCGAGCTGGCATTGCTTGGGATCCCAGAGAGAAGGAAATCCAGCTATAAAAGCTATGATTAGGTTGAATTCCTCTATAGCAGTACATCAACCAGTTACCTAATAAAGATAGTCAAGTATGTTGGGAGATACGCTTGCATAAAATACCATATAAATCTTCTTTCGAACATTATTTGCATGTGTAATTCGTCCCACATGCCGGCAGGGTAAGGCTACAAATAAATTTTTATGTTGTTCGCATCATTGGTCTGCTACGAGAGTGAGATGCAAGCATGAAGTTTTGTAGGTTGGAGTTTTTGGAATAGTGACCCGAGTAAACCCTATTGCGCCGATTTAAATTTAGCCAATCCATTCAGAAGGACTTTCCGAGACGTAATGCCAGTGGTTCGGCAAACCTTGACCTGATCAAATTGTCTCTTACCTGGAGTTATCCAATGGGCTAGTCCCGAAAATTCACCTAAGCGAACAGCCATAGGTTGCCGGCAACGGTTGTCGAGGTCGTCGAGGTTGTCGTGGTTGTCGAGATTGTCGGGGTTGCCGAGGTTGTCGGCGTTGCCGGGGGCTCAAAGACAGCTTAGAGAGCGCGCGAAACGTGGAGGCTACCATGAGGTCTTACAACGATGGCAACCTCGGCAACCTCAGCAACCAACCCTGAAAACCTCGATAACCTCGACAACCTCAACAGCCGTTACCGGCAACCTAAGGCCGTTCCCTAAGAGAGCCTGAAAATGGCGAAAACGATCGTTTTGTAATGTTTCGAAATTGGACGTGTGGAGCAAGGCTGAAGATGCTGAATCTTTGCGGGACCCAATGGTTGTAGCATTGCGGTTGGCAGCCTCCAATGGTAAAAGGAGAATTGTCAACTCGTCCGAGCGCGAGTAAGATTGATTTGCGCGTGTAAGTCTGAGAGCAATTTCCACGACAGAGAAGGCATGCTCTGCAACCGGATTGCCTTGTTCTCCTATTTGGGTGATAAGCAACCTACCGCGTCAAAACCCTGAGTTGTTGAGTTTTGCCGATTCACTGCCTTTAGAACCGCCCACCTCCTCATGCTTGTGGGGTTGATGAGATTTTGAGGCCTAACAGTGGTGGGTCTCCCAACCAGGGTCAAGCGTGCTGATGCGATCCGGGATCCTCATTTAGGACCCCCCTAAAGGTACCCATCTGTCTATTACACAGATTTTCCTGCGAAAATAACCGTTTTAGCGCCTTCCAGAACGATGCTAAAAACGTGCATGAGCACGGAACTTTGAAAATTCGTAACTAAGGTCAGGGAAAGACTGAGAGGCTGTAATGCTTAGGCTGTGTTGTATTCTGCCCATATTATCCATGGAAAAAGTTTCAGCCATTGAGGAGCAGTGATCTCGCACATTTAGATGAGATCCTAAAAAGCAAAAACTGGTATTCTTAAGCTTGAGATTTTGTAACTCACCGGAGAAGTCATGAAACAGCCTAAAAATTTTTTTGATAGAAAGTAGGAGGGTGGCCCCGTAATACAGCAAAATTGCAGCGAGCAGGCCTTCCTAGCGGCAAAAAAGTTTAGATGCGACCCATTATACGACCCCCTTTTTTCATTTTTTGTTGGCATATATATTAGGTTGTTACATAAGTCTTGTTACACTTCAATTTCTTACGACGATAATTCGCGAACTTCATAATTTTAATAGGGTTACATAGTACCATTCGATAGAGAAAAGTAAGTTCTAAGATGGTATGCAAAAGTTCGCATTAGCTCTGACCCACTAAATTTGCATCCGGAATGTGAGTTGCACCGAAGGTTCAAAAAAATAGGGAAAAATCATAGTTTCGTTCATAAAAATTACCCGCATCCCCAACTTGTTCACGCAGATTGCACACCACATCGGACACTCATATCCAGCCCTGCTGTTTTTTCCTCATCTAGAAATCGAGAAAGCGAAATTTTTCTTGTTTTTACAGAAACGGAGCTATGCTGTTTTTATTACATTCATATAGCTGTAAACTACAACCACTTTGAAGTATAACCGTGAATTTTCAGCTTTTCTGAAGTTCTCGAAAAATACCAAATTTGTTTCACGCGGGTGTTCAATGCTGTAGTAGCTAATTTTCGAAAGTTAAGACTTCTGAAAGCTGGAAATTTACGGTTGTACTTCTAAGGGCTTGTAATGTACGCTCCGTGAATAGAAACAGCATAGCTTCGTTTTTGGAAAAACAAAAGTTTTTCGTTTTTCCAGTTTCTAGATGGGGAAAAAATACAGCAACGGTACATGTGAGGGTCCGATGTGGTGTGCAATTTTTATGAGCAAGTTGGAGGTTCGTAGGAATTTTTGAACAAAGATATGAATTTTTTGCGATTTTTTGAGCCTTCAGTACGGCTCAGATTTTGGATGCACACTTACACTGGGTCAAAGTTGGTGCGAACTTTTGCAAACTATCTTGTAGAGCTTGCTTTGCTCTATCGAATAGTACCTGGAGCCTTGTAAAGAATATGACGTGCATGGCTTATTGCCATAAGAATCAAAGTGTAACAAGACTTGTGTAACAAGCTAATAAAATTTTGAAAAAATCCACAGACTATGAAATATAACCAGATTTTGCACAACTGTAGCAGAGCATCTCCAAAGTATAGGTAAATTTAGGCCCTTGAAAGACATAACAAAAAAGTTTTAAAAATTATTGATGGCCATCGCTGGTAGAGATGAGCAATTTTGTCGAGAGTGTGAGACTTCAGTGATGCTTCAGAACCAGGATTTCTAGGCCAATTGACACATTTAACATTCTTGTCACTCATACATGCCTAGTATTAGCTTCTGAAAGTGTCTTTGAAATCTTCGGTCATACTTGTGGCCAGCAAGTTCGATCCCCGTCTGCGACACCTTTTTTGCAAGGAGAAAAATGCTGTTTTTTTAAGGCAGCGTCCAGGCAAGTCTGGACACATGGGCGCGAAACTGCCATGAATCCATGCGAATACGATCGCGGGATCCAGTTTCGAGGGGAATATCTCAGCCGTTAGAGCACTACCTCCGCTCCCGCTTGGGCAGTGCCTTAGTTAGGGCCCCAAAAGTAATTTCCGCCTAAAATCCCCATGGGTCCAGATCTGCCTGGACGCTGCCTTTAAGGAGTAGAGAATGTTTGCGACTAAGAAGCTTATTTCATGCCCTCCACACTTTTTTAATTCGGACCATCCTCTCTTACCCCCCCCCCCCCACCGCCGATGCTCCCTTTACGACCTCCCGTTGCCACAGTAGCATCACACGCTTGACTCTGCTCTCAACTGTATACTTGTCCAAATCGCGCTGGTAGAAGTTGTTTCTGAAGCGAGAAAATTGCCTCGAAAATCGCTCGGATGACAGTTTTGCCACTTCGGCTCCTCCCCTTTGAGAGGGCGTAACGTTCGTCCCACCCATCCGTGCGCACCCAACTAATCACCGTTTCGGAGAACTGGCCTTGCGGATTCTGGAAACGGGGGTTTTCGCGGCTTTTCAATTTGATATTCGGAATTAGGGGTGTAAAAAGGCCCTGAAACGGTAAAAACATGGAATTCAGAAGTTTGGGTGGACGGTGCCTATAAGATTGCAAGTTACACAGTCAGAAGATTGTCCATTTAAATGCCACGTTCAGTGGTCAGTTCAAGTAATATCTCAATAATAATATCTTAATATCTGGTAGTTCATAAGTTAAACATACAAAAATAGTGCACAAGTACGAAGAATTACACAAAACTTCCATAAGTTGCTCGCAGTAACTTACGGGACACTTAAAATAATGTAATAACGTAATGTCACGGGCGACAAAATTGTACAATCAGGCCAACATATAGAAAGAGTCAATAAGCAGTTGACTGCAACCAGGGAAACAAAAAAGTTTCTTTTCTTTTTTAACAGAATTCGCGCTCTTTTTCTGAATACCTCATATACTAGGTCGAAAGTTCGTTCGCAAAAATTTTACAAATTCATAACTCATGGTTTCCCGATGGATTTGCACACTTTCATTTTTACCTAAAAGAACAACTCATTCTCTTCAAAGCGGTATCCTAGCGGCATTCTATTGCGCATAAACTGGGTACATACAGTGACCGCCAAAAAGTTGCGGACAAGTCGCCTTCATTCTTTCATCGCTCATTTTTAGATTGAAAACAAAGATGAAAAAATGTTTGGATTGCATATGGTGATAGAGCTCTTCAAAAGCTACAATCTACATGCTGCGCTTTATCAAAAACATGTGTCCTAAAAATTGTAAAAATTGTTTTATAAGAAAGGTCCAAAAATGGCCGCGTCACTATGTTGCGGACAATAATTCTTCGAACGCGAAAATTTTCTTTTAGATCTTTTTTGTAGCAAAAACAAAAGTTCTCCGGACAGGTAAGCATACTATATTGTAGAACTCATCGAGGACAATAATTGGGTGATGGTTATTCCCAAAAAAATCCGAGCCTGAATTTTATTTTGCTTCTTTCCAAAAAATAACTTCTAATTCCCTGCTTCAAGTCAAATTTCTTCACATGAAAACCCAATCAAGACATCCCAACAAAGCAATTTGAATAAAATGGATGCCCTCTGCCATCTCCTATGCATCGGACGTGTGCTGGTGAGTTTCTTCGCTGGAAATAGCTTTTGACAGTGCGTGCACATGACCCCACCTGCACCTCACCACTGACTTGCACCGCTTTGCAGGCTTGTAGCTCGGCCAGCAGTCATTCTACGAGCCTGCTAGTAGGCTCATTCCAAGCGCTTGACTTCCTGGACACGAAGGTATGCAAAAGAGTGGGTAGGAGAAACAGCGAAGAAATGGCGGATGGGGTGAAAAAGCGCAGCTTCAGTGGTAGGTTAAGGATTTCCAGCTAATGTTGAACAGAGCTTCTTTCGCTACAAGTTTCATCCTAGAAGTTGAAAACTGTCAATGCTTTTGTAATAGATCCGTTCCGAAGTTTCAGAAATGTCCTGGTGTTGATAAGAGCCTCCGCTCCAATAACCTCTAGCTGCGCTTTTTCACCCCATCCGCCATTTCTCGCTGTTTCTCCTATTCAACTCTTTTGCATACCTTCGTGTCCAGGAAGTCAAGCGTTTTCGAATGAGCCTACTAGCAGGCTCGCAGAGTGACTGCTGGCCGAGCTACAAGCCTGCAAAGCGGTGCAAGTCAGTGGTGAGGTGCAGTTGGGGTCATGTGCACGCACTGTCAAAAGCTATTTCCAGCGAAGAAACTCACCAGCACACGTCCGATGCATAGGAGATGGCAAAGGGCATCCATTTTATCCAAATTGCTTTGTTGGAATGTCTTGATTGGGTTTTCATGTGAAGAAATTTGACTTGAAGCAGGGAATTAGAAGTTATTTTTTGGAAAGAAGCAAAATAAAATTCAGGCTCGGATTTTTTTGGGAATAACCATCACCCAATTATTGTCCTCGATGAGTTCTACAATATAGTATGCTTACCTGTCCGGAGAACCTTTGTTTTTGCTACAAAAAAGACCTAAAAGAAAATTTTCGCGTTCGAAGAATCATTGTCCGCAACATAGTGACGCGGCCATTTTTGGACCTTTTTTATAAAACAATTTTTACAATTTTTAGGACACATGTTTTTGATAAAGCGCAGCATGTAGATTGTAGCTCTTGAAGAGCTCTATCACCATATGCAATCCAAACATTTTTTCATCTTTGTTTTCAATCTGAAAATGAGCGATGAAGGAATGAAGGCGACTTGTCCGCAACTTTTTGGCGATGGTTTAATTACTCAAGTTTGGGGTACTTTCCCTCAGCGGAAAGTACCTGGGGACTGCGCGGTCCTCCACAAAGGACCGTGCGGTCTTCATGGTCTTCATTTTCGCATATTCTCGCGGAGAATCCGCGAGAATGTGGCCAGCGCGCCGCAGCTAATTTACAAGGAAACCGCGAGTGTACTCCAAGCATTCGTCTAGAAATTGGCCAACATTCTTCCATATATCTGCAAGTAGTCCGCAAGAATCAGCGAACTATTTTTCCGGTGCCCGCTTGCTCAAAATTCGCATTCTCCCCGGCCGACCCCCCCCCCGGGGAATTAGGGATTATCTGAGCTATAGCATACTATTCAGACTGAGATCGTAATCGTACTTTCATCTTAGGCGCTAACCTCTTCCTTCCTAGTAGCTGAAATTCTGAAGAGATCAAAGTCTGGTAATGTGATAGGAGACAATGGCCTCACTGGATCTTCGTCAAACCAACGCATTCGAACTTCCTGATTATTGTAGTTAAAGCTGGAAAAGATGTACAGTGCTTGTGCATCACATATCCAAAGCTGCTTACCTCTCGTATACCAACCCGCACTTTTGTAAATCAAGAGGAAAATTGCTAAGCTCCATTGTACAAGGTCCTTTTACTCGTACCCGATAATTGACCATAACGCTGCCGTTTGGAAATAACATAAGAAACACACTCCTTAATTGCAATAGCCGCACAGCAAAATTTTCGAAAAAAATGTAATCACTTGAAAGGGGATTCATGAATTTGTGCAACTTTGCTGTTTATAAAGCAGCTATTGGGCGTCCACATGCGATCCAAGACTTGATGACTGAGGGACAGATTACCTAAAAAGCATTCAAATTCTTCGATATCTCCAATGGTAGGTTGGAAACATTTCTTGGGCTGCCTCCAGAGTTTACCGGGTACCGGTGCCCAGCTACCGGCGGCGTTCCATTGCCGCGTCAGCGTGTATTGGTCATCACCAGGGTCAAGCGTGGGGTGTGGCACGCCACACCTGGAGGTCAGTATTGAGGAGTCAAAAGGGGAGGGAGTCGTAGTAAGGTAATCTGATAATAGTGATAACATAATATTCGTATCATATCCATAATTAGCATGTCAATTAACCCCTGTAGACAAAGTTTGAGCGAATTCTGAAGATACAAGATACTAGGCTACCAAAGTGAAATGGCCATATTCCAACATGGTTAACTTTGTTTCAAAGGTGAATTAGCTTTCCGTTTTTGCACTCAGAAAGCTAGTTGCCACAACTTTTTAGGAGTGGTACCACACCCTGTTAACTATATCAAAAACATTTTTAGCGAACACTATTTATATGAATTAATAGCCTAAATCTCTCACATTCCATAGGAAGGTTCAAAACCTGATTCGTCTTTTTGCTCTGAGTAATAGTTGGTGAAAGCACAGCGATAAAAAGCGGAAAATGGGAAAAATGAGATTTTGGTTGGCTTCTAATTCCACAGTTTGGAGGTCTTCCGAAGCGGGATTTCTGAGATGGACAAATAAGGAGTAGTGCTTTGTCTTGAGTGCAAAAACGGAAAGCTAGTTTACCCTTGAAACAAAGTTAATCATGTTGGAAAATGACCATTTCACTTAGGTAGCCTAGTATCTTGAATCTTCAGAATTCGCTCACACTTTGTCTACGAGGGTTATTTGACATGCTAATTATGGTTATGTTGCCCATTATGTTTGACAGGGCCTTGAGGTATCTTAGGTATATGATTCAGGGGGGAGGATCTTATTAAGACAGCAATAAGGGGGGGGGGGTCGTAACCAGCGATCGTGTGCCACACCCCTTGCTTGACTCTGGTTATCACTTATAGCTACGTATTCTCAGACAATCGCTGGGGGCAGGCGGGCACCGGAAAAATAGATTGCTGATTTCTCGCACCCCGCTCGCGGATTTTTTGGAAAGCAATCAGGACTTTTCGGAAGACCGCTTGCTGATTCAGCTGATTTTTGAGAGACCGCCTGTTGAATTTTCTTCGCTCTTATCTTTTGCAGATATATTGCTGAATCTCTGAGGAATCGAGAACTCAGCAAGCGGTCTTCCGAAAACTCCTGATTGCTTTCCAAAAAATCCGCGAGCGGGGTGTGAGAGATCAGCAATCTATTTTTCCGGTGCCCGCCTGCCCCCAGCGATTGTCTGAGTTGATCGACCAATCTCGGCGGCAGCTTCCGCTCAGATAATCGGCGGGGGCAGGCGGCCATGCGATTTATGGGCGGGCGGGCACCGGAAAAATAGTTCGCTGATTTCTTGCGGTCCGCTTGCAGATGTTTGGAAGAATTTTAGCGAAATTTTAGACGAATGCTTGGAAAACAATCGCGGTTCCCTTATAGATTAGCTGCGGCGCAGTGGCCGGATTCTCGCGGACTCCGCGAGAATATGCAAAATTTTCGAGGGCCGTACGATCCTTTGTGGAAGATCGCACAGCCCTCAGGTACTTTCCGCTGAGAGAAAGTACCTCAAACTTGAGTAATTAAACCATCGATGACATGTAGAGTCTCACCTTTGCTCGACGTACGCCCGAAACTGCTTAAAACCGTCAGTGCGCCAGCTGAAAATTTGACTAGCGCTCGCTGAAAGAGATTATTTGACGAGCGCCTGCAGAAAATTCTGTGTTGCTGCCCGCTGGCAGAACATTAGACTGTAAAGGAAGTACCGCTCGCTGAAGGTTTGGCCACGCCCCAAAATTCTGCTGACCGCTTGCAGAAAAGCGCGAGTTTGCGGACCGCCTGCCCCCGGCGATTATCTGAGCGGTACGGCGTTATATGGCATTAGCACGACGCTAGCACTGGTGCGGCACTGGCATGAAACCCTGGACGCAGACGGCCATAAATAATCAGTCCCTCACCTTTGCAAGGAGAGAGTTTTTCAAAGTTGAGCGCTGGATCAAGCCATCTTTCAGTTATATAGATATCCATATCAAAGTCGTTTGTCATTTCATCTATAGAATTAATGGCTTGAATCCAGATTTCCACAGTAACTGTCATTCCAGTCATTCCTATAAATTTCGCAAGAATTGCAATAAAAAATTGATAAGTCCCAAAAATTCTTCATACGCGGAATCCGGAATTTATTGTAGCCTGTGCCATTCAAAAGCTGATCAATAATATCCGTGTCTCGTGTGCAGTTTCTGTAACAGAACTCTCTATTTTTTAGGATCTTGATAAGGTAGATTATCTTTTACCGTCATTTTTGTCCATTAGCATGCAGAAGATCAGGGCATTTTCTTCTTTTATGTTTTCATCCAGACAGGAATATCAAAATTATTCCGTTTGCTTGAGAAAAAGGCGTGAAAACAAGTTTTAAAATGCCAAGAAAGATATCGAAGGTAAAACTTTGAGTATTTCAAGTTTTTTTCAACAATAACATTATCAAATTGCACTTATCACCGGGCTCTGAGCAGAAGTTATTGTGTAAATCATTTATTTTAAATCCAGTCATTTTTACAAGCCCAAAATTCGCGCGATGTGAGGCAAATACTGCATTGGCAGTAGCGGCTGGCAATTGCTATCGTTCCTCTTGCACCACACCCCAACTCAAGCACAAGTGCAATAAAGCTTTTTTTTGAAGAAAATTTTCGGCATCATGTCACCCTTCTTTCACTTGCACAATATTGTTAAATTACTCCGCTCACCTATATCGCGAAGGCTTTTTTACTTCTGGCACATATGACAGCTCTAGAGACCTCTCTTCTTCAATGGAGTTATAGTCGCTGTCGATGATCGCCTTCACAAACGAAATCAAAGTCATGAATCCGAAAATAGTCTTCATTTTCATAGACGCTACAACTACGATGATACTCCTACATAAACCTGAAAAATCATTTTCTTCACTAGTTCTATGTAACACAGAAACTTTTCTTGCTTAATAGAGTAAATCCCATATTGGCTGTCACCACTACTTTATCAACATCTCATGCGAAATATGTGAATCACATGAAAAAAACTTAGTAAATGGAGCTTGTGGAAGGCACGAATGAGAAATTAATTTTACCGAACAATTTTCCATTTAGATAGAAACCTGTAAGACAGCCGTACTTAGGCACAAAGAATGATTTGGGATTAAGTATCGGGTTACCAAGCACTTTTTACAAATTCTCTTGTTACATTCGACATAAGACCGGTTATATTCGAGGTGGAACATATATAATAAATATGCAGTAGGATTCAAATTGTGAGAAGGCAATGTAAGTAGAACAACTGTAAAACAACACTTGAAATTTGATGATTATTCCCAGTTATCTCACTTGAATAGTCCAAAAATTTATTTTCTGGAGGGTTGGCTTACTCCGAACTATTTGCTACGTGCTTTGCTTCAAATAGTAATACATTCGAAGCCTTGGCACCTGTACAGCATTACATAAATTTTATAGTTTTCGCTTGTAACAACAGTAAGAATGAGCTCACATTCTCCGAACTTTTTTGCTAATGTAAAACATATGTGTTTCAACAACTATATCTGAAGATTAAAGTGTTGAAATGTTAACATTAAGTGTTCCAAAAGTTCAACCGTTTTCTTCTCTGAACTGTTAGTTTTACTGGAAATGTTGTCGTAAACATTGCTCCGGTCATTATAAGCTTTTTTTTAGTTTTCTATGTAATTTTCAGATCATGTGCTTCGAATGGCATCGAAGCTAGCGTGGAATTCTTCTCTTTGCTTTCTATGATACCATGATAAAGGATAAAAGGATAAAGGATTTGACGTCTCCAACCTTTCTGCGAGCATGCGCCGAACTCACCGTACTTCATAGTCGAAGAGGCTACTGAATGCGTGCGAGCCTTCTACAATGACTTGCGGGGACCCGCCGATTACCAAGTCAGTGCTTTTATCCTCCCAGAATACTCTGAGTACTAATTTACCTGCCCCGGAGGTTAGAGGGCTTAGTTGGCCCAGGGGCAGGATCGAACCTTGGTCCGATCTGGCCATAGCGGCGCCTTATACCACTACGCCCGCTCGCTCTCCCGATACCATGATATCCATAGCAAAGTACGGATTTTAGAAACATATGCATTGTTGGCTAAGGACTCATGTTACATCATATCAGAATACAGATATCAAAGAATCTTAATCTTAGAAATTTTTGCAAAAACCAAACATACTGTTTCAGTCCTTACAAATGCAAAAGAATTAGAGGCGGAATATGAGATTGTCTCATAAGTTATTCAAATCAATTCACAACCATTAGTTCTAATTAAGATGTAGGCTACCGTTCGACAGAGCAAAGCAAGCTTTGTAAGATAGGAGTAAGTGGCACGCTTTAGCACATCATTAATTAGAAGCAGGGCCTGGCACGGGATGGCTTTTGGAAATTGCAAAAAAACGAAGTCCCTCTTGACCTTAGATCTTAAACGTAAAAAAACATCAAAAAACGTCGACAAAAATACCTGCGATTTTTGTGTCTTCTCAACCTCAAAAACCATACCTCCTTTGCTTTTTGTCTCAGAAACGATATAAGGCTTTCCTACAAGCCAGCTGTGCCGAGCTCTGGTTAGAAGCCCAAATCTGAGAGCTCTCGGAATGCCCAAGAAATCGAAAATTTATATCTTCGTGAAATAAAATTTACCAGACCCCAAACTTGCTCATGCAAATACACTCACAAAACATTTAGTGCCATTGCTGTGTTATGTGCTATCAGGTTGATGCATAATTCTTGCACCAAATTTTTGCAATTTTGTTGCTTCATCCAGCTTGAATGAAATATTCTAATTTGATGCACAATAGAGAGAAGGGATTTGCGCTTTTTGCAGGTTCTCACTTCAAGATGGCTTGAGGGCATATGGATATGTAAGCTGAATTAAGAGAAGTACCCAAAAAGTGATTCTTTGATTTTTTTGGTCAAAGATTGCTAAAACCTTCACTAAATTTCAATTTATATTTGGTCTTGGGTTTATAACATGTCCTTTTAGCTGAGAGAACTTAGTAGTTACTGGATATCTCTGGATAGTTGCAATTTTCGATTTTCCAAACCGACTTATTGATTTTGTTTCATATTGATTTTCTAAAATGTACTATAAAAATACTATTATACTTCGATATGAGTAACAAAGAGCATATTCTGTGGATTTACTAGTCTGATATAAAATTTTTGAAACACTTTTTTCTATTTTTAGTGCAAGAATTGTGCAACAACCCAATAGAAACCGAAAAAACTACAAAATTTCAAGCTCCCACAAAAGCACTGCTGCGCTGTTCTCACATTGGTAAATGTATGCTACAGGCCTTCAGAAAGACACTGGTAGACCTTCTTGAAAGCGCTAGTTCCTGAAAATTACCCTACTGAATTTAGTTCTTTTTGTTAGGGTGTTTTATGTTGAAATCAATAATTCTCGGAAACCAAAGTTTGTAGAAAGCTGAAAATCTGTGATTACACTTCTAAAGACTTGTGATATACATTCACTTATGTGAGAACAGCGCAGCATCGTTTTTTTTGAAAATTTGAAAGTTATTCCTCGGTTTCAAGCACAGAAACAAATGCAGCTTATATGAATGTTTCATTGTTAGTGTATATGAGTGAGCGAGTTTGAAATCTCGTAATTTCTCTTTGAACAAAGTAAAAAAATTTCTATCTTTCGGGCAAAATTTATTTCGGCTTCTAGTTCATGATGCTGAAGCTGATGCGAACGCTTACAGACATCTTATAGAGCTTGCTTTGCTCCATTGAGCGGTGCCGTCTATTCTGATCAGTATTGAGAATTGTGTGACTTATTGCGGAAAAAAATCATACTTTAAAAAACTAATGAAACAACCTAATATTATGAAATTTTGCTTCTCGCGGCAGGACTGAGTCTAGCACATCCCATATTAAAGGCAGTGGCTCGGCAAATCCTCGACCTGAAGTTTTTTCGCTTACCTGGGGTAATTCGATGCGCTGAAGGGTTCTCATTTTGAATTTGGACGAGTGGACCACTCCCCGCCATGGTTAGAGACGTAGAGTCGTTGCAGGATTGCAGGATATAACATTGCAGCATGCCGCCTCTGACGGTGGCAAGGGGACCGCAAGCTCGTCTGGAACGCGTGTAAGAATGGCTTCTAGGGGCAATTTTCTAGGTAGGGACAGCATGTAGTGCGCTCAGACCTGCTTATGTTTGAGATGCAAGCAACTTTCCATATCAAAATTTCGGGATGTTTGGTTTTGCCGAGCACTGCCTTTAAGACAATGAAAAAAACTAATTGATGTTCTGCAACGAGAAAAAAATTTCAAAAATGGACTTTTTAGCCTTCATAGAGAGAGAGCAAAGAGTAAATTCTTTTCATATTTAGCAAATGTGAAAAAGCTTATTGCGATCCGAATCATGGTTTTTTTATAGTGAGATTTCGCAAAACTAGTGATTGTCGATCTGAGGGATGGGACAACCTTTCTCACAGTTGTTGCAATAATCACGAACAAGGCTTATAAACGCCAAGAATTTGTAGATTATAGCACTTCGAAACAGGTAGAGCTTGAGACAACCTAATATGGCTTGCTATCAAAGAGCAGAAAAGTTTTACGATCACAAGCCGTCTAAATAATTTGATGCGAGGATATCACACTTATTCTTGCTTGAGATGCAATTAGACTTCAATGGATATGCTTGTGTGTAGAAGTTTTTGGCTTGCATAGAAAGAACACCTCTTCAACAATGGGATTCGGTGAAATGTTGGAAGAGCAGCTGACATGTTGTAGCTATCTGAATGGGATACATAAATTTGAATACACAATGCTATTCATAAATATTGGATCTTGCACGTTGAGCAGGTGTTGTGTTGCTGGATGACACAACCATACGATGGAACTGAGAGAAATCATTTAGTATTCTATGCAGTTTGAAACAGTTACACGAGCATCAAACAGAACAACATATTTTTATGGTGACCAAGGTCCAAGAACTTTCTCGAACAGCGAATAATCTCGCATCTGAGATTCTGAAGAGTATTGAGCAAAAGCACCGAGAAAAGTTTTCCTTTGCTAGGTTAGACTGGGTCGATTGAACCGTGGTAAATTGGATAATCACAAAATCTTGCCTTAGCTCTTGGTTCTCAAGATTTTTTTACAAGGGAACTTGCAAGAAATGTAGGCTGAGTTTCTTTCATCATAATGTAGCTTTCATCATAATGTAGCTTTCATCATAATGCAGCAGAAACTCCTTTTGTAAAATTTTCTAAACAACTATTTTCCTACTGCAGGCTTTCCACTGCCTCCAGTAAACTACCATAAACAGCTAAGGTAAATAACAACATAAAAACTTTGCGTAAATGTAACAGTTCAGACTCTAAGATTCGTTGCCGAATACGGCATTTGAGTTTAGACAAAAATGATATTTATGTCGTAATATTTCTGATGCGGCATTGCATTCATGGAGTCCCTCTGGAAGCGTTACAAGCGAAGCATTCAGAATGCAGGTCCAAAACTTGCAGTTCAAACATCCTTTGCATTTGTAAGTATTGACAAATAGAAATACGAATACAATCGATACAGCAGATAAGACATTCGTCGATTATTCAAAAACAATTGTAGAACGATACCTATCGTCATCTGATAAAGTATTACCTGTAAACACACTATATCGCATCTATAGAAGAGAAAGAGTGTAGGTAGCTAAGCATGAAACTTATGTCTTGTTTGTTACAAGCGTATCACGTTCCGTCCACTCTGTTGGCAATTTTGGACCATTATACGTGTAGGGAGATGTTAGAGTGGTAAAAAGAAGCCAATATATGCAATGTGCACGCGCCACCTTTGGTGTTCCCATTCTGAATTCATGAAGCAACTCTTTATGCAAATGTTTTCAAAGTGTTTTCAACGTTTTCTCTCCTTTTGGTACTATACCTCAAAATGATGTA